GCATGGAGGTGAGGAGATGAATGCAGTTTAACTTGGTATTTCCTTGCTGGAATGAAATCATTGATATCATCTTTCACTCGGGAGGAGACCTCAGATGTGCATTTGTGAACAGGATGATTAAAAACTGCATTCCAAGGGACATCAAGCAGGAAGTCATGGAACAAGTCCCAATCCACATGTTGATAACAGAAAGATATTCTGTTGATAGGAGGTTCTTGGCTGATGGGGGAGTGGAAAAAGATGTTTACAGACACTACTGCATGATCAGAGTTGCTAAGAAGGCAGAGCTGCAAAGTACAACATTAGTCTGGGATAGAGGTAAAAAAGAGATCTAGAAGAGAAACGTGTCCAGAAGTATTACTGGGGAAATGCATGGGGAAAACCACCACTTATGTGAGAGATTGAGAAATTAAGGGTCTGAATTCCACTGGGGTCAGTGGCAGAGTGTTTAATCCACCTGACATGGTGGGCGTTAAAATCACCGAGCACAGATATATTTGCAGATGGATGTAGGAAGATGGCCTTGTCTATATTATCAGAAATACTATTTAGCACGCAACAGTCATGAGCGGAAGGAGAACAGTAGAGAAAGAAGAGATAGCTGACTGAGTTAAGTAGAGACAGATGGAGACACGTGTAAGAGTGGTGTGGAGATTTAAGAGAGAGTTCCCTAGCCAAAAGATGTTCATGAACATAAACTCCCAGGCCATGCATGTGGACATTAGGGTCCTTCCTAAGGAGAGGAAGATAGCCAGGAATCGAGAAATCAGAGGCAGGATTGAAGAGTTAATATTAGTTTCACAGAGAGCTAGGATGTCCGGAGACTTTTCGAAAAGGAACAATTCCACACTGTAGAAGTTGGTATGAATACCATGAATGTTGGAGAAAGAAAGGTTGAGGGGTTTAGGTGATTTTTGTTGACCTGGGTTAGATTTATACCTTTGGTATTTTACAGTCATGGTGTGTTGTTTTGGTAAGGAAAGGCCTAGGATGATAGTAGCAGTTGGTTGTCTAATGTAACATGGTGCAGACTGCAACATAGTGTGGCCTCTGGTTTGCCCACCGAAGATGCTTGCAGGGACACCCTTCCATGCGTGATATAGCACTGCAAGGACCCTGATATTATGCAATTGTTGACCAGAACGGCCTCTCAAGATGCTACTCAAGAGTTCAGGCTCCTAAATACCAGTTGGGAACAGCAACCAGAAAACTGTCAACCTGGTACCCTCAGTATAAAGAGACATTGCCACCATCTTCACATATCAGAAAAAAATCATGACAGCACCACTATTAAGGCCTGAGAAAAGGAAAGGAACCAGGGGAACCCCTTCCTAAACAGGAAACAAGTTATGAGCCTCTACTCCTGTTCAAGAAAAGAGGGAGGAGTATGGACTGGGCAATAGGAAAGCTAATCTACTCCTAATAAAACAAAAAACAAAAACAAAACAAGCACTAAAAAACAAAAAAAAAAAGTTATTTTGAGGAATGAACATTCAGAAAACTAATTTGGAGAGTCAATCAGCAGCCATAGAACTTTTGAACATACAATTTTTAAATGACATTCTATTAGGAGGGAGGTAATAGAAATGGGATAACAAAATTGGTAAACCAAACAATATTACTTATAAGCTAGCTGGTCTGTGTGGTGGTATAGCAGTGAGCTTACCACTATATGGACAGAGTAGACTAACATCATTTCAATAGAGCTTTGATACAATTATGACAACTTTGAAGTGAATTTTTCAGATTTCCATGGACGAAAGTATACAACTCTCTCTTATTAGGGATGGGAGGTGATAGTCAGGGGAATGTGTGTGTGTAAAAGACTGCTTTACTTAACCTGCTTTTCTTTTGGCTTCTATAAAAGGAATTTGAGTTCTTCCTAGATACCAAGAACAACCAGTCAACCACAAATGAGTGGCACTTGAATTGATGTATATATATATATATATATATATATATAATTTTTTTTTCAAAATGATTCCTTCGCTACATAAGAGTTCTCATGTTTCAAAAACGAGAGCTGAAAATCTGAATATAATTATTAAAATTAAATTGAATTAAAGTATCAAGCCGTTTCATCCTCAAGTGAAAATTTAGGAATAACCAATCTTGAAATTTACACATCTTTGTAAGCATGTTCATTCGCAAAATTAATTACTATGGAAACGTCTGGGGCAACCATTTTGATGGAATCATAAAAAAAATAATAATAAAATCCTGGAAAAACACGCATGCCAAAACAGTATTAATAAAAATCCTAAACTAAAACCAGACAAAAATAATGAAAAATTATGTCATCGTAGAAACCCTGAAGACTGCCAATTGGAAAATAAATGCTACACAAAATCTGTAGTATACCAATGCACTATCTCATCCATTGAGAGTCCTAACACTGATAGGATATACATTGGTTTAATGAAGGATGAATTTAAAATTAGATGGAGACAATACAAAAGCTCCTTCAATAATATTAGAAATAGAAATCAGACATCTCTATCCAAATATTTTTGGCATATAAAAGAAATGAATAAAACACCAAAAGTAAAATGGAAAATAATAAATAGAACAAGAACTTGTAAAACCTGGGATGACCCATGCCCTTTATGCCTACATGAAAAACTACATATTAAGTTTCCAAATAATGAAAATTTATTAAACTATATACACGAGTTAACAAATTTTTGCATTAAATAATTAGCATAAAAAAAATTAAAAAAAATAAAATTTCATAGTCTGTTAAAAGGTTTAAAAGCTTAACCCAATCATAAGATAGAAAAACCCTTTATGAAGTCGTCAAAAAAATAAATAAATAAATAAAATAAAACAAAATTCTCTAGACACTTAACAACATATTATGGTGCCAAAAGCTATCTTTCGCAAATATTAAAATAATATAAAAAATTAAAACAATGAAGGCAAAGAAGAAAAATAGAATAAAATAAAATTTGGGAACAGGATGGTCTAGAAAAGTGATAAAAACAAAAAAAAAACAAAAAAACAAAAGACAACAAAGAACAAGTTAAATACAAGAAAATTACAAAAAATAAAAGTGTTCATTTCAACAATACCAATGACTGGCAAAAGTCAACTGGCAGGTGTTTTGAATGAATATCAGATCAAGAAAGGTTTGGTGATGCCAACATTGGAAACAGGGGGAGGGTATATTAGCTGAGGCAGAATGGTGTTGGGAATTGCCAAATTTGGACATTCTATTTTTTTTCCAAACTATACAGACATCATGATACAATTTTATTCATGTGGAGAGGGGGATAAGAATTTATAAAAACCCTCATGAATTATATACCATGAATGAAAGAAATATGTACAAATGTAGTTTGAATGAAGAGGCCACTCATATCTTAACTGTGGCAGAAAAAGTCAGTTAACCATTAAAAAAATATGCATGACTTGGAAAATAATATGTAATAAACCATAAAAGAGGCATTCAGTGAGCGTTGAATTCATTACTCAGTAGTAATTAGCAGCAAGATTGGATCACTGACCATTACACCCACATCAGGGTGCCCTCTTAACAACATTATAGCATAAAATGTATTCCGATAGGTGTTTTTATAATGTGTTCACCAGCAGGCAGTAGTATGTAGCAACAGGTCAGAACATCTTTGACTTTTGGTGAATTCATTATGAAACAGTATGAAGGCATGCAGTACCAACCTCTTCTGAATGGGGCAAACTGCCTGAATATATTGGGCTAACGAATAGTGATTGGGTGTGCTGATATAAGTAGAGTAGTCTATTTCTATCTTGTCCACACCACAAGTTGCTTGGTGGTGATGTTTGGTTAGCCAGAGTCATACAACATTTGGCCAGATTTACACACAGAATGGGCAACTAGAAATGGCGTTCAGCTTAGATGGAACACAGTTGCTGTGTCAAGCATGGCAACAGGTGGCTTGACTGCAATGAGTGATCTAACCACTGGCCAGCACAGGCAGCTTAACACGTTCACTGGGATATGAAGGTATGCAACAATGGGTTTGATTATCTTCAATGTTTGGTAAAGGTATGTGGCACCAACCTCTTCTGAACAGTGAAGACCATCAGAATGTGCTAAGCCAGTGAATATTTTGATTTTTTCAAATTGTCAAAAAAAGCAAATCATCATACAAGTTGAGTAGGCTGATATGAGTAGAATAGTTGATGCATACCACTAGAAGATGGTCACTGCAAGGTGTTGACTGGTAGTGGTCATCTCTTGGACATCATGTTGTTGCTCTGGCCTGGCATATTTGAATTACTTTTGCTAGCTGCTACTGGCTGTTTAAATCACTGTCTTCATAACTTTGTATGTATATTTGTTATACTGACAGAAGGACTTGTGCTGCCTAGTGTATGTTCATATGTTATACCTGGCCAGTGTGCAGCTCAATCACAGACCACCAGTGGCACTTAATATATTTGCCAGTAAGATGATATGATTTATTTTGAAATTGCTGAAATGATGCAAAACTAACTTTTTTACATGCCTTAGCTTGAGTCATTTGCTGGCAGCTGGTTGTATGATGCCATTTTAATATAAAATATCTTTGCTTTTTGATCAGTTATTTTATAAAAATTTCTCTATCGGATTATTCTCAATTTGAAGTTGAAAACTGCCTGTCTGCACCAGGAGCTGCAGAATAACATAATGTTGATCAGTACATAAAAAATATCAGTTGTGGTTGTATGCATTCAGTTTGTCCTAAATCCATTGGGAAAAGCATGAATCCATCTCTTCTTTCAGTTATGGTTTAAATAGTAGGGCAGACTGGGTACTCTAGCTTTGGTTGACAACCAGTCAAAGAGAAGGGAGTATTTTTTGAAAAATGCTTTGTATATTTGACTATCAGGTGTAATATACAACTGAAGGAATACCAGGTATAACATGTATCTGACAAGCATCAAGTGTTATGTGTATCTTAAACTAAAAGACTTTTCAGACATTGTAAGCTTTTTAACTGGAAGTAAAATACTCACTATTTCATCTTGGTCTTTACTTTTTGAATCAGGTTCCTGTAATAAAAGAATTTTATCGAAAGTAACTGTTGTAAAGGTTAGTAATTTTTTCTCTCTATGAAATAACTTATTTCCAACCATTCTTCGTCCATAGGTATGTGTGTCTGATACCCAACTGCAAAAACATTTTTTTTACAGTACGGCTATTGGGGTAAATTGTTCCCCTGCTCTAATTAAGTATATACAAACATGAAGGTTTTGATATGAGGACTGACTAATAGTGCTCTACAACAATAGTAGAAAATCTTAATTAAATGTTGGAAAAGAATTTTATCTATTTAAAGTTGTAATTCTTGATGCCTTCATTGTTGAAAAGGGCTATTCAAGCTCAGCATGGAATGTCTGAAAGAATGTACTTGAATTTCAAAATGAAACTTGTCACATGCATGATTAACAGCAAATCATTCTGAAAGAAAGCAGGCAACCATTCAATTGTTGAAATAGCTGACGACATTAGACTTCAGAATGCTTTTGTACACGACCTGTTTACACTGCTTCTAGGCATGACTGTGAAATGTGTAATGAAACAATTGTTAGAAATGGTACTGCTGCTAATATTCATTGGGATAGCAACAACAAAAACTCACCATAGGTCATATATCTGCCATGTTGGCCTTTAAATAAAGACAGGAACAACATATCTACAAGAAATACTTGTTACACATCTGACAGTGTGATATCTAAACTTTATGATTGGGATATGTGTAGTAATGTATGTAAAGGAGGTACTGTTATAAAAGCAGTATGCCACAGCAAAAATTTCAGTCATTATAAAAAGAAACATGTGACCAAAGTTTGGTACTGCTATAAAAGCAGTATGCCACATTAAATGCCAGTTGAGCTACTATCTGTGAATTTCAGTACTTCTTTTCTCAAACTCTGTGGGGGTATTATATCTTCATTGCATATTATGCCATTCTCTACATTTAAGTTATGTCTTGATTCTTTGTAGGGTCCTTATTCCATTAAACGATCGCCCCATGTGTTTTTTTTATTCTGTCTGAAATTCTACTTAACACTGGATGTATGGTTTCCATTCTGGGACAATTTAGGGGTAACACATCCATTTCAACTCAGTGCAGTATTTTATCTTTTAAATTTTCAAACATTTCTAACTTTTTACTGTCAAAATTTAATCTGGATAGCGCATCAATGTGTGGAATTGTGTTCCCCTTTATGTATATGATGTTGAAATCAAAGGCCATTAAAATTCTAGATGTAACTTTTGGTAATTCCTTCTGGGGTTAAATATAAACTCTAAAGGTTTGTGATCTGACTTTAACTAAAATTTTTTGTCTTAACAAAAAATTTTGAGCTCTTTCTGTGCTCCATACTATTGCTAACACTTCTTTCTCAATATTTGAGTAGTTAGTTTCAACTGATATTAATTTCATCGACAGTTACATTATTAGATGACTTTATTGAGATAAAATTGCAGCTAGAGCATGTTCACTTGCATCCATAGTCAATGTCACTTCTTTTTTTGGATCAAAGATTTTTGCAATTGGTTTTCTTATTAGTGACTTTTTTAAGCTTTCAAAAGCTATATTTTGCCTTTGAGTTCATTTAAATTCTGTATTCTTTTTCCATAATTCTGCAAATGTGCAAATGGTTTTATTATGTCACTGTATGTAGTTAGATATTTGCTATAAAAATTGGTCAATCTCAAAAAGGATTCCAATTCTTTTTTATTATTTGGTGTAGATAGTTCTGATATTTTATTTATCAGTTTATTGTCTGGTGAAATTCCTTCTTTAGATATTTGGTATCCCAAATATGATATTTTGTTGCAATTTAACTCACATTTATCATTATTTATCATCATAATAGAATATTTTAATTTGTTTAAAACTTGTTCATTTTTTTAAATTCCTCTTTACTGCAAGCACCTCTGCCTATATTGTCTTGATATGTGATTTTTTTTTCCCCACTTCAATAGAACTTTTTCAATTGCCTTTTGAAAAAATATGGCTTGACATCTTAATTCCAAATGGAAGACGAGTCCATCTTAGTAAGCCTATCAGGGCATTATAGTTGTAGTGACTTCTTTAAATTTTTTGTCAATTTTTGTTTGGTTATGTTGATTTCAGGTCAATTTTGGCAAAGTATTTCATTCCTGCTAATTCATGACTTGCCATTTCTAGTGTATATCTGATGATTCACACTTACTTTGTAATCCCTGCATATCCTCAAATCACCATTGAGTTTTTGTATCGCTACAATGGGTAAAGCCCAACTATTACTACCTTGAGTAACTTTTTCCAATATGTATTGTTCTACCAAATATCCTTAGTTTTGCCAAGGGTAAAATGTTGATAGGTATATTTTTTTGAGATTCAAAATAGATCGGGTAACTATATTCTTTTAGACAAATATTCACTTTATATGCTTTCAATAGTCCTATGTCAGGTTCTACTGACTTTAAACAGTTTATTTCACCATGTCCACTTTTAAAATGTCTATTTCCAGGAGTCCATGATTTTTTGTGTATTCTACAACATTGATGGGAATAATCTCAAAACAGATTTTTGTTTTGAAAGTTCCTTCAAAGGAGACTAGAATTTTGATGACAGATCCATCAAATTGGTATGTGTCTATATTTCTGAGATGAGGCATTATGTACACATATTTGTTTCCATATTTATCACAACATTTCGGCCTTCTTCGGGTGATTGGAATGTCGAACATAACCCTTTATTTTGCTCACTGGGGTAGACTGTTCTAGTTCCACGTGCCATGTCTAATGGATATCAGTTATCTCCTGTTAATTCCCCTCTCCAAGTTCTCCACCCCCTTAACCAGGTATTGAACTCACACACTTTGGGTCCTGTCACTGGATCTAACTAATGCCTTCATCCACTGTGCCATGTGTCCTTGAGGATATCTGTGTATGAATTTCTGGGTATTATAAACCTAATGTCTTTAGAAACCATTTTTTACCAGTGCACATATTGCAATTTTTGCTGTTGTCATTGCATGTTTTTACCAGAGCTCATATTGCAATTTTTGTTTTTATTATCACTTTTCTCTAGTACTCCTTATTACTGGTTCCCATATTGTATTCATTTCTATGCTTGGTTGGCTCAGGAGATTTTTGTGGCCTAGCATATGTGCTGATTCCTTAAGTTTACGATTTTTCCAATGATGTTCTTTGTCTATGATTTCAACCTGATCCCACAGAGGGTGGTGATCTCCCTTTTCTCTCCATATGTGGTCAGCCATGCCTGATTTTTCCACTTCCCCTCATGTTACAGCTTTCTGGTGTTCTTGAAGACTTACCTTAAAGGGGCAGTCTGTCTCCCCTTTATATTTCTTTCTGCAGCTACACAGGATTGTGTACACACAGTCTTTAGTTGTATTCTCCTCTATGGGGGGGGTCTTAATTGGGAGAGATATCTGCGAAGTGTCATCCAGCTTTTGAAGTTTGTCCTGATGTTATATGGACAGCAGATCCTTTATATTTTCTCTGATAACCCCTTCACATAAGGCAGGCAGACTGTTTTCTGAGTGTTGTTGTCCTCCTTTTATACCTGCCTATCCCAGTTTTTTGGGGCTGCTTCCATGTACCTAGGGTAGTTGTTATGCTGTAGGGTACTACTTATACTGACCAATTCTTTATCTAATAATGTCTCTGGGTCACCACTTATGACTTTTGTTTGGTGTTGTAAGCAATGGACAATCCCTTTCTTTACGCTATATGGATGGTGGGAGTTGAAATTGAGGTACTGTCAGGTGATTGTCGGTTTGCAGTATACGGATGTCTTGAACCCATGATCTGTTCAAGATATTAGAACATCCAGGAATGGGAGTGTGTTTTTTCTTTCTCCATCGTGAACTGTATCGAAGGTCTTATTGAATTCACATGGTCCAGTAGAACCTGAACATCTTCCTGGTGTGGCCAGAGTATGAAGGTGTCATCTACACACCTTAACAATAGAGATGGCTTTAGAGATATAGATTCTAATGCCATTTCCTCAAAGTATTCCAAATATATATTCACCATTGCTGGTGGTAATGTTGAGCCCATTGCTAATCCCTCATCTAGTCGATATATGTGTGATCCCATTCTGAAGTGTGTTGTTTGTGTACAGAAAGTCAACATCTTCACCAGATTATCTATTGGAATACTGGTCTGTTCTTCTAGAGATTAGTCAGAGGCCAATTTGTCTCTGAGTACTGAGAGTAACTCCTCCATGGATACCTTGGTGAACAAACTCACCACATCCAAGCTCACCATCTGGTTGGATAGGATGAGGGCATCTTTGATTATTTCCACAAAGTGGGCGGAGTTTTGGACATATGAAGGTGACTTTCCGATCAATGGGTCAATTATATCTACAAGGAAGCGACTCAGAGGGTGGCACACAGAGCCTTGGCAACTAACAATCGGCCTGAGCAGAATACCATATTTGTGAATCTTAGGGAAACCATATATGTGAGGTAGCTTGGTTTAACACTGCACTAACTGCCTATATGTCTTAGGTGCAAAGTGATCCTTGTTCTTGATTAGTATCTGTGACAGTTTGCATTCCATTTTCATTGTAGGATTCTTGTTTATTTTGCTGTAGCTACAATTTTTAATGAGGTCTTCCAGCTTTCTTGTATCTGATTTGTCCATCACTACAGTTGCATTGCCTTTGTCAGCCAGTAGTATGATGATGTTTTCGTTCCTCTGTAAGGATCCGATTGCCAACCTCTCCAGTTTCGTGATGTTTGACTTGGGCAGCTTGGCCTTCTTCAAGGTCTGTCTCACCTTCCACCTTAGTTCATCTGCCTGAGCCTGAAGGAAGTTCAAGGCCACCTCCTCAATTCTGGCAATGATGTCCAAGTATAGCACTCGCCTGATGGTTGTGGCAAAGTTGAGACCCTTATTTAATACTGACGCCTCAGAGGCACTCAGCTGATATTGGCTGATGTTGATTATTGCTTTCACTGGTAGGTGATGGACCTTGTGCGTCACTTTCTGATCTTTCAATCTGTTTAATTTTTGTACTTGGTGAGCCTTGACATCAAATTCATGTCTGAAGGATTTATCCAGGTCATTTTGGATCCTTCTTTGGTCTTCTTCATTGGTAATTCTGTTAAAGAAATCCTCGAGCCTCTGGGAGATATGAGCATGTAGTCTCTGTTTTATCCAATGATTGTACTGGATTCTCTCTTGGACAAGGGCATGTCCCACTTTTTTTGCAACCAAATGGGCTCTCCTTGAATTGACGGGAAGTCTTGGTGCCAAGCCATCTCTGTATCAGTGTAGGAATGTCAGATCATTCGATATTTGTGCCAGTTTCTGGTAGGATTTTTCAATTTGTTTCCATATTTTCAATGTATCAGGTCTGTACCGATCCTTCAGTATCTGCCTACATTTCTGACATTAAGTATTATGTACACTATTTACATTATTTGGACTATTCCAACCACCTGAAAAAGGCCAGAGCGTACCACGACTGAAACATTGTGATAAATATGGCAACAAAGATGAGGACAATAGTCTGAATAATATAAATAGTATCCATCAAATTGTTTTAAATTAAGATTACTTTTTCTTAGGTTTACCCATTTTTTCCCCAGAAATTCCTTGGGATCAAGTTAACATCCCTCTCCATCTAAATCTGCATGGGAAAAGTTATTCCATTTAATTTCACTGCCTCTAAAAGGTTTTTTCTTTTACAGTTTAAACATAATTTTTCTAGGGCTGGACATTTTTTTTGTTTCTTTCATGTTATTTGTCACAATATTTGCAATTAGTTTTAGAAGGATCCATTTATCTTCTATAAATATTTCTCTTGAATCCAGTTTTTCAAATTTGCAATATCTTGATGCTTCTTTCAATCTGTGTAGGTATTGTATTAGTTTCATTTGAGGTTTATTTTTCAGAAATTTTGTTTTTTCTGCACAAACCATTCTTTTTTTTTTGGTTGCATGTTTCTTTTTATAATGGTTGAAATTTCCTGTGTTAAGCCTTCCAGTATTTTGGAGTACAACATAATGGATATTTTCTTTATGACTTCACATCCTGCTGAAGCCATAAACGAAATCAATAATTTCATTCTCCCTTTCGGAGGCTTTATTGCCTATCAGTTTCTTTACCTTAGCCAATGCTGTAAAACATCTAATCCCAGTTTCTACATCCTCCAGTTCCTCCAACGTGGTTTGGGATCCTATCGGTAACACCATATTGTTATGAAGTAAAGTACTCTGGTATATATACTGCCAGGTCAACAGATGGTAGCTCAACTGACATTCACTGTGGCATACTGCTTTTATAGCATCATTTACATACAATACATACAGAATATAGTATTCTGACAAATATTTACAAATAAAAGTTCAGAGTTAGCAAGATATGAGTTTGTTAATGTTCATAGGAGTTATCTTAAACTAAACAATAGGAAAAAACTTTTAGATATTAATAAGCTAGAAAATCATATTCAAAAGATTTTTATATCATTAAAACTTGAAGTAAAATACTCACTACTTCAGCTTTGTCTTTAGTTTTTGAAAATGGTTCCTGTAATAAAAGAAAATAGTCAAAAGCAACTTTTGTGAAGAGAAGATATTTTTTCTATGAAGAACTTATAAATGAAAGACTGATAAAGTTTATAGAACATCCAGGAGCCCATAATAACATATAAAATAAGAAACTAATAATTTATTCATGCATATTGGATATTGTGTTAATATGTTTTTCTAGGGTCTATACCTCTTGGATTTATTTATATAACAAAATTATATTGTACTTTGCATAATAAAACTTGACATCCCCCCCAAAAGTTATCAATATATTTAATAAGGATAGGTATTATAAGCTGAAAGTCAGGCAATATATATATATCCTTTTTCCAAGAATTCAAAAAACGAATCGATGACAATTCAACAATTTTGGTTGTCAACTGCTTGAGCAAAAATGGCCATAAAAAATGTAACAATTTTTATACAAACCATATGGCCTTCAAAAAAATACACTTCTCTCAAAAATCATGTATGAAAAAACAACCTCGACAATTATAAATTTAGACAACTATAACATTTTTAAAATAATAAAAATAATTTTTTATAGTCTTGCTTTTGTATCATTGGAAGATTTTATAAAAGTTTGGTTAAATACCATAATAGAACATTATGTATTGTCCTCAAGTGATTAAATTTAAGCAGACAGATCTGATAATTAAGACCATCTTAATTCCTCCTCGAGTAGAGGTTTATCCATTATCTCCTGTTTAAAATTGGTTTTCTGGTTCCTTCTAAAGTCTTCTCATTCTCTTGCACTCCTAATAGCCCCTTGTGTCTTAGTGGCATTATCACCTTGCGTGGGGTGAATTGATTAAAAAAAAATATAGAAATACTTACTTTTGGAGGCAACCTCTGGATATTAGTGTCAAAAAATATTGTTAATAAACATCAATAGATTTTGAGATCTATTTAACAAAACATTTGTAATATTAAAATGACTAAAATATCTGTTTCATAATGAGGTGTATGTGATTTAAATTTAAGAAAAATGAATATAGAATAGAATGTTTATCTTGAGGCTGAAAATTAACCTATTTTGTTTTGAGTGACAGACATCCAGGAGGATGATTGTTCATAAGAAGAAAGTGAATGTTTGTAAAATGTTTTCTATTAAAAAAACTGCATATGATGAATAGCATGCATAATGGAAGCACAAAAGTTAACTAATTTATTTTGTCCACAATCCTCAAAAATCTGACCTCAGGGGTAGGATGTAATTACTGTATGTAGATAATATATCATATTCTATTATGGCACTTAACCAAGACTTAATAAAACCTCCCAAATAATACAAAAGCAAGACAAAGTTTCAAACACAAGTCATTATTACATGAGGCTTGCTAAATAAAAAACATAATGCCACCCCATTTATTATGTGAACAAACAACATCAGAGGTGGATGTATGTGGCATGGCAGTAGAGGCTAAAACTTTAATTGATAAACCATAATTTCTTTTGAGCTTATGGCCACATCCTGTTGATATCACCAAAGTTAAGCAATGGTCAGTACCTAGATGGGTGACTGTTTGGGAATACCAGGTGCTGTAAGCTTGGATGTGTAGGTGGTGTAATGGATAATGGCTCAGAATTGTTAATTGGAGAGCTGAGTTCTAATTCCAGTTGGGTTCATTACATTAACTTATGCACAAATACCCTTGGGGAAAGGTGTGAATCAATTTCTTCCCTCCATAGCTATGGGCTAATTAGTAAGACTTGTATCAGTAAACCATTATCTCAAAAAAAAAATTCTTACAATCTAAAAATATTTTCTGGCTTTAAATAACCTGCAAAGTATTGATAAGCCATAGAAAATAAATCAATCTAATCAAATAGCTTTTGCCTTGTTAAAGAAAACAGCTAAGCAGTAGTTTGGGAATATAGAATCTGACATGAAAGTGGATACATTAATTACTCTATTTGAAAAAATTGCACTCACTGACATTCACTGTCACTTGCTGAACATTTGAAGTGACCAAACAATATATGTGTGCATAAACAGGTAATGGGTAATGAATTTTAGCAGTGGTGAAAGTGATGTAAGTAGCAAGTCAAGTTCTTACCCCACCTACAAAATATTCAGTATTGATAAAAATTCATAGCTAATGGTGGTGACAACTGGCTTTTATTTTGTGTGTGTGTGTGAGTGTGAAGTGGGGGTGTTGAAACAGGATCTTTTTAGTGCTCCACCTAAAAATTTGATCCTGTAATTATTTCTTGCTACACCTCTATTCTGATGATAAGACATTGTTCCTCCACTGAGCTAGTATACTCTGCATTGTCTAACTCATGAACTGAACACACAATTCAAAGAATAAAATAAATTTAGCAGCAGGAATCAATGTCTTTATCCATCAAACTAGTGGATAAAATACAGATTTTTTTTTTCCTACCAGATATTGTTATTATATTTCATTTCATCAAAAGTCAATGGGAGGGGGGATACAAATTTCAAATTCAAGAATTTGAAATATCTTGACATTGATTTTTCACCACATACTTTGTTTTTATAATATAGATATTTTAAAGGATAATTTGGTATTACTGCTAATGGCAAAGATAATGGATGATGTAGTCCCAGTAGAAGAGAAATGTGTTTGAAGTTGAAATTTTCAAATACTTACCTTTGCAAACTGATCTTCAGCTCCATCATCATCCTGCACAAAAGAAATGATACTATTATTAGATTAACAACAGAAAAATTCAATGAAAAAAAATCTATTTTAAAATGTTAATGAGAAAAGGTATATCATAATGAAAAGACAATTATGAAATAAGCATCTAGATTGGATCATGTCTTTAAGAAGTTTATCAAGAAAGGGATCAATGATGACTTAGTAAGTCAATCCTCATAAGGAGAATACATTTTTAAGATGAGCATTTTATTGTATCATGAGGCCCAAATCAAACTAAACAGAGAAAAAAATTACAATTTCAAACAAATAAGAAATATGTCAATCTAAGGTCAAAACAATCACAATACTTCTGAAGTCAATTTCTCCTTTACAGATTTATCTTCCTGTTTTAAAAAAACATTGATAGTAATTGTAATAGAAGTAGTTTTAATAACTAATTATCAATAAAAAATTAAATATGATTCATCATGGATATTTAAAAAAATTATATGTTCATATATCTAAAGCAAAAAGTAGTAAGGACCCATAATTCACAGCTATATTAAAATTGCAGATTTATGCAATTTATTTATTATTTAATAAATTCTTTGGACTAGTATCTCTGTTGTTTCAATAATTCAATTCATTTTTGTCACTGTCATCTGTTGTCTTAATTGGAGTGGCAAAATTTACCAAAGATAAAAAGATTGTGAATCAGGAAAGGAATTCTATTCAAAGTACCTTGAAGCTTATCAAATACAACATCCTTCTGTGGAATAATTTTGAATGTTCTCTCATGTTTTTAGTCTTTTTTGAAAATATGATAATAAGATATAATCCATAAGTTTAAAATATGAACAGACACAAAGACACTAATAATTATGAAAGGGATTTGGGGCTAAGAATCTGAACAAGTTGAGAGATTGTACTATTTTTATTCCTGTGTGTTTTTTCTTTTTTTTTTTCTAGTGATTCTATTTATCCCAACCTCACTTCCTTATACAATGTATTACACTCTGTTCTAATTATTACTGACAAGGTCAATCTTTCTTTGCTTTGTGTTAATATGTTACACCTTTATTTCTCCCCTTTTCTTCAAAACATTTAATCTAGGTTAATGTCTTGATTACCATACGGCTGTTTTCATAGAGTACATTCAAAAACTCACTAAAAATATTGTATTGTACTATTAAATTATAGCGACTTCTATAATAGCAAGTTCATTTTTCAAGGCTTTTTTTTCTGATCAAATTTATTAAATGTACTGTAAAGAGGAACAGAAAAAGAAAAATCAATAAAATGTGAATGAAATAAAAGAAACAATTTAAGAATATTGGATTATAGACATATTTCATCAAGTAAATTGTATGACAGAAATTCCCTCATGCTTGAAATTGATTCTTTTTACTGCTTCTTCCAAAGAAAACAAGGATTCTGTTTATTTTGATTAAGGTTTTTTTCATATGAGGCTTTTTGCTTCAATGACCATCTACCATCACACTTTTCTTAACAGATAATTTTTATGGTGAATTTTGACTGCTTGGAATTGAATACTATGAAATGTATTATATAGTTCAGATTTTCTTCACAGCCTTCCAATAAGGTCATACTTTATTTTGTCTGCCATTCACAATGACAAATCATGAAGTGAGTATTTCATGTGAACAATAAGCAATTAGGTTTTTGATTGATTTGTTTTTTACAGCTATCAACTAATATGCATTTAGAGAGATGCATCATAGAGTAATAGTTTGTCTTACATACCATTGTTAGTATATTGAATTTAGTACTCACTAAATGCCTTACTCTTGTGGTTAATTGCAAGAAAAAATTAAGATTGGCAAATATCAAAGAGTGCTTATGAACAGTGGTTAGTAAGTTTGTTAAAAACATCATTGCTATTGTAGCAAGTTTGATTGTTACTGGTTGAACCACATTTTTTGTATTTTTGCCATGTTAAATTCATCAACAATTGCTGAATGTTTATATAAATCAAACAGTGGATGAGAGCACAGTTAGGCAATGAATAATATGTTTTAGTCGTGGTGACAAGCCACATACCATGTTATCCATCCCAGATGTCAACTCATGAAATGAAGAGCATCTTGATCAGCTCAGTTGTGTGAATAGGTACAGATTACATGTATAAAGCTGAATGCTAGCTTCAATGTATTGGAAATGATACTGGTAACATTGGAATGGGATATCACAAACTTTGTACTGAGGGTTCCATGGATTCTCACACAAAACCAACCAGAAAGACCTCGAAATACAATTTTGTCAAGAGCTGCTGAAACATTATGAGACTGAACATGATAATTTTCTGAACCATATAATCAATATTGATGCAACATAGTATTACGACTACAAACCAAAATTAAAGCAGCAGTCAAACAAGTGGTGACATGCAAATTCTCCACCAAAAGAAAAGTTCCAGATGTAGCCATCAGCAGGCAAAGTGATGTTCATTGACTTTTGAGGTAGGCAAGCACAGTACTAGATTGACAGCAAGGTCTCATCATTTTACATTTAAAATTATCAGATCTAACCATAAGTTCTATGTTAACAGTTTCTTATCCTTGCACTTCTTGCTTGTGGAACTCTCTTTTGGCTTCTTGCTTTCCAGTCAACTTTGACACAAGATTTAAATGCAATGTCAACTGTCATTTTCTGTCTCATTGAATCCTGTTCTTTTATCGTCCTTAATAATGCTTCTTTCTCAGATTCTTTCACTTTCTGATATTAACATCTTGTGTTGTGGCTTGCCTTGCGTGGGGTGAAATGATTAAAAAAAAGAAAAGAAAAGCATATTCCTCCTAGATTTTCTAGAACCTAAGCAAACCATCAATTCTAACATACAACACAATGCTAAGTTAAAGGCCCAAATCTACAGATTTAGGCCAGAGAAGTAAATATTCTTTCACTAGCAACATGATCAAAGCAAGCCTCATGCAAGTTTGAAGATCATGGATCACTTTGACAATTCTGGCTGGACTCTTCTACCACATCCACTGTAGTCTGGATTTGACATCTTCTGACATTCATTTGATTGTCTATGTGGACAACATTTTCTTGACAAGGCCATCATGAAAATGTTAATTGCTCTCAACTGGGACAGAATTTTATAAGTATAGCATGCAGGGTCTTGTTAATCATTGGCAAAAACGTAGTGACAATGTGAATAAATAGTATTTTGTAATTAAAAGCACCCTTTATCTAAATGTATTATTGTATTTTATGTATCTATTATAGCTTTTTTTAAAATAAACAAAATGCATCACAGTTGAAGGGACCTTTATATTTGTCTTAACAAAAATTCAATAATAGTAACAGATGGGTTTGTCAATGTTAATAGGAATGATATTAAACTAAAAGACCTTTCAGATATTGATAAGCTAGAAATTTATATTCAAGATATTTTTGTATCATTATAACTGGCAATAAAATACTCACTATTTCAGCTTGCTCTTCAGTTTTTGAATCTGGCTCCTATAATGAAAGAAAATTATCAAAATCAACATCTGCATAGAGGATACATTTTTTCTCTATGCTGTAACATATTGTATATTTAATTTCCAATGACTGATATTTCCATACCAAGTGATTACATTCATTTTAGATTCTCTAAATTAGCTTCTTATATTATGCATAAAAAGGAAGAAGCAAAATTTTTAGTATTTTTAAGAAATACTAATATCATTCAGATTATATTTTAGGTCCACTGATCAGAAAATGAAGAAAAACAATGTTTGAATTTTTTTTCCTGCAATTTTGGGGAATTATTATTATTATTGTTGTTGTGTTGTTGTTATATTCTTTGCTATTTAGATCAGCATACTCATCTTGGTTCTTGGTCTGAGATGGTCTTGTGGATTAAATATTAGTTACAACATATCTGGTTCCCTGGCAGTAGTTTAATCACTGGATCTGGTAGTGCTGAAAAAGTCCCATATTCTCGTTCCACAGAAGAAACAATAAAAAGAAAGAAAAGGTGAATAAGACTAGTGAATATAAGTTATTACATGAAATATCCACTAAGCATGAAAAGTGGAATGAGAACAATCTACCTCTATGGATTGGATAAAGGGTTCAGTTAAAATTCCAAGAAGTTTATTGAGTATGAAAAAAGAAATATGAGTATAACAACCAAGATTAGAATGCTGGTCTGAATATCAAAATATATTAAAATGTTTCACTCATTTTAAACAAACATCTAAGAAAAATTCAGCAGTGGAAAGAAATGAGTGTGTCAATATTCATAGGAATTATGTTAAACTAAAAGACCTTTCAGATAAACTAGAAATTCATATTCGAGACATTTTTATATCATTATAATTAAAAATAAAATACTCACTATTTCAGCTTGCTCTTCAGTTTTTGAACCTGGTTCCTGTAATAAAAGAAAATTACCAAAATCAACATCTGCATAGAGAAGACATTTTTCTCTATGCTGTAACATATCTATATTTAATTTCCATTGACTGATATTTCTATATCAGTTGATTTTAAATTCTTTAAATTAGTTTCTAAATGTACAAAATAAGCAAATTAGGAAAAAACACAATTTTTAATATTTTTTTTTATTACTGACTAATATGTCTGTGTGCACATGCACATTAGTTTACATTTTTGAATATATTATTTCAGAACTGAGAATAAAAAGACATTTCTTCAAAAAAGTCTATTTTTAAGGAACTTTTGTCAAACCATTTTCCCATTGAGAAAAGGCATGGTGAGGTACAACATAGAGATTAAGATAAAAAAAATTGATTATTTACACTATTTATATTGTTCGGACTGTTGTTTTCATCTTTGTTGCCATATTCACAATGTTTTGTCATTGTATGCTCCAGCCTTCTTCAGGTGATTGGAATTTCAAACTGGACCCTTTATTTCATTCACTGACATCCTAATATTCTTTTTTATCACAATGTCAGTTGAATTCAGTTTTGACGAAATGATGTAGTCAAATGGATGGGATTTCCATGGGTAATTCAAGGGTCCAGCAATGGTCAATATCTTTGTTGGATTTTGCAAGCAAGATTTACTTATTTGTATGAAAAGAACTAAATGTTATTTTCGTTATACTGCTGATGCTGTATTTTTGAGAGCAATATGGAATCTGAAGTTTTTATTTTTATAAATCATTAAATGTATTACATCCAACTTTATGGTTCACCTGTGAAAAGAAGAACAATAGTGTTCTTTTTTGGATGTCTATGTGCACAAATCATGTCCAATTATTCTTATGTCTGGGCACTATAAATCTATTTTCAGTTTTATGTATATGCTGGGACTCTTTTTGTCTCAAACAACAAAAATATCTTATTAAGATAATAATCCATTGTGCCATATTACTTAGTTCTAAAACTAAACTAAATTCCTAAACTGAAACTATTGAGAAAGTTTAGGGCAATAATGTATACCCTCTACAATTTAACAAACCTAAGCTAATTGGTCCACAAAAATGTCTCCTATATTTGAATATGCTATGCATTGGTGATATTAGTATATTAAGGAAGTAAATTTCTAACAGTGTGCAACATTGTTATTTATATACCAATCCACATATTGTCTTTACTGCCCACCTGATGCTGTAATCATTTCATAAGGATGTTTTGCTTCATCACCAGATTATTCCAGTTATTGAGTTTTAAATGCAAGTATGATCTATAGGTAGAACAAGTCAGAAGTTGAAAGTCAAAAGGTCAGCATATATCAGTCAAAACTTTTAAAAAAGGTAATGGGATAATTTGCAAAATTTGTATGTCAATACATCTTGGTCTGTGAAAGCTGAGTACTTATTAAGTAATTTTAAGTATGCATTGTCCTATACCAAAGACATGTTCTCAGTTTTAAGTAAGGAACATTCAGAGTTTCATTTAGCTCTTCTACTATAAGCAGAATGAGTGAAACTTTTAATTTTATTTTAATTTCGTAGCCAAGTGGTATATTGTTTTCATTTCTTGCTTTCATTTTTTCTATGTGAGTGTGTAAGAGGGTTCATTGTGGTGTTCCAATTAAATATTTGATCCTGTAATTATTTCTTGCTACACCTCTATTCTGATGATAAGACATTGTTCCTCCACTGAGCTAGTATACTCTGCATTGTCTAACTCATGAACTGAACACACAATTCAAAGAATAAAATAAATTTAGCAGCAGGAATCAATGTCTTTATCCATCAAACTAGTGGATAAAATACAGATTTTTTTTTTCCTACCAGATATTGTTATTATATTTCATTTCATCAAAAGTCAATGGGAGGGGGGATACAAATTTCAAATTCAAGAATTTGAAATATCTTGACATTGATTTTTCACCACATACTTTGTTTTTATAATATAGATATTTTAAAGGATAATTTGGTATTACTGCTAATGGCAAAGATAATGGATGATGTAGTCCCAGTAGAAGAGAAATGTGTTTGAAGTTGAAATTTTCAAATACTTACCTTTGCAAACTGATCTTCAGCTCCATCATCATCCTGCACAAAAGAAATGATACTATTATTAGATTAACAACAGAAAAATTCAATGAAAAAAAATCTATTTTAAAATGTTAATGAAAAAAAGTATATCATAATGAAAAGACAATTATGAAATAAGCATCTAGATTGGAATCATGTCTTTAAGAAGTTTATCAAGAAAGGGATCAATGATGACTTAGTAAGTCAATCCTCATAAGGAGAATACATTTTTAAGATGAGCATTTTATTGTATCATGAGGCCCAAATCAAACTAAACAGAGAAAAAAATTACAATTTCAAACAAATAAGAAATATGTCAATCTAAGGTCAAAACAATCACAATACTTCTGAAGTCAATTTCTCCTTTACAGATTTATCTTCCTGTTTTAAAAAAACATTGATAGTAATTGTAATAGAAGTAGTTTTAATAACTAATTATCAATAAAAAATTAAATATGATTCATCATGGATATTTAAAAAAATTATATGTTCATATATCTAAAGCAAAAAGTAGTAAGGACCCATAATTCACAGCTATATTAAAAATTGCAGATTTATGCAATTTATTTATTATTTAATAAATTCTTTGAACTAGTATCTCTGTTGTTTTAATAATTCAATTCATTTTTGTCACTGTCATCTGTTGTCTTAATTGGAGTGGCAAAATTTACCAAAGATAAAAAGATTGTGAATCAGGAAAGGAATTCTATTCAAAGTACCTTGAAGCTTATCAAATACAACATCCTTCTGTGGAATAATTTTGAATGTTCTCTCATGTTTTTAGTCTTTTTTGAAAATATGATAATAAGATATAATCCATAAGTTTAAAATATGAACAGACACAAAGACACTAATAATTATGAAAGGGATTTGGGGCTAAGAATCTGAACAAGTTGAGAGATTGTACTATTTTTATTCCTGTGTGTTTTTTTTTTTTTTTTTTTTTTAGTGATTCTATTTATCCCAACCTCACTTCCTTATACAATGTATTACACTCTGTTCTAATTATTACTGACAAGGTCAATCTTTCTTTGCTTTGTGTTAATATGTTACACCTTTATTTCTCCCCTTTTCTTCAAAACATTTAATCTAGGTTAATGTCTTGATTACCATACAGCTGTTTTCATAGAGCACATTCAAAAACTCACTAAAAATATAGTATTGTACTATTAAATTATAGCAAATTCATTTTTCAGGGCTTTTTCTGATTGAATTTTTTTTAAACATAATTACTATTGTAGCAAATTTGATCTGTACTGGCTGATCCACACTTGTGATTTTTATCATCTTATCAAAACTTTGTAAATATTCTCAACTTGCTTTTAGAGTTAAATTGTTACATATTTCCACATTAGTACACATGGTTGATATTCAAGTCAAGGTAAAATCTATAGTTTGAATGCTGTTTTTCATATATGTCCTTCCCACATAAAAGAGTAGAAACAAACAAATAAAATAACTTTATATAAAACTAGCAGTTAAGCCCGGCGTTGCCCGGGGATGTAACAGTAAGAGATAGATCAAGTATCGACCATCATAAAGACTGAAAAATAAAATTGACAAAGATTATTGTTTAAGGTTGATGGACACGCATGTCTTAATTAGTTTTTTTTTTTTTTTTTTTTTTTTTTTTACGAATTGGTCAAACCCAAATTCAAACAAAAACATTGTTTACAATCGTTATGAGTCTATCGATTGGTGAATAGAATTTTATTATAAACAATTGTCTTGTAAATGGAATTTTTAAAGCATTCTGAATGTAAATAAAGAAAAAAGTGTGCAAGACAATAAGAAATACTACCTGCTGAAAAAAAAAGTGGATGTTTGTTTTATCGGCTGAAAAATGTAAGAAATCCGATCCCATATATAAAGGAACACACACACACACACACACACACAAACAACCTGGGTTTTTTAACCTAAGTCACTCCACGGAATCGCTAAAACATAGAGCATAGTCTGATGAAAAAGACGTCAAAGTTTATGAAAACAAAATTTTATCGTCAAAATGCTTATTTTTTTATGAAGAGGATAGACTAAATTTTTTTAAATTATTTTTTAAAATTTTTCCATCTTTTTAGAATATTCTAAATTTTGATTTAAAAAACCTTGTTTCTCTTTGTCGCAACATGGGGTAGTAAATAACATAGATAATTTTTAGCGCATTTTTTTGTATTTACACACATTAATTTGGAAAATCTTGCAAAAATAAAATAATTGTCAGATGTTAATGAAACTTTCAGAAACTATTCACAGATGATCGAAATTATTATAAATATTTTTTTTTTTTATTAAAGTCATGGCAGTAATATTTTTTTTATATTTATTAACACCCCCATAACTAATTTTATGAAAAACTCTAGAAATTTGAGACCATCGGTTTTAGTGATTACAATAGTTAAAAAGCACAAGGCTTTGAAGAATGCAAATCATGTCTTTTTTTTGTTTTTTTTTGGCCAACGTACCTGAAAATCAGCTGTGAATTGTAACATACAAAACTCAATAAAACAAATATATTATTTAGTTTCAAATGCTTTATTTGTTTTAATTTGTTTTTATGAATATGGACAATATTTTCTGAAAGCAAAAAATTTTTCAATGAAAATTGAATTTTTAATACAATTATTTCTTATTTCTTTAATTTTAAAAAGATTTTTAAAAAATGTTTAAATTGAATTTTAAAAAATATTTTAACATTAGTTAAAAGCAACATCAACCTTTCAAAATGTCCGTGTGAGATTGTCATTGTCTAGCGCTTTGAAAATTGTATAATTTGGACCAATCAGATTAGCCATGGTAATTAAGAAATGTAATTTTTGTGTTTATAGTCGGACAGTAATTATCAAGTACGGAAGACCAACCAGAATACAATTTAGTTGCATTATTTGAGTTCAGCATTGTTCTCCGCTGTTAAGCCCTTTACTTTTGCGTAAACACGTATGGAGAAGTTAATTTGAGTTTTCAATTTCAACTGAGAAGGGTACCTACAAGTATCAGTATCATCTTATGAAATTTAACTACTGCTAAACTTTAATTTATATGATCTTATTTTTATATCAATCTCAGTTATGACATTTTTCCATAAATGAAATATCAAAATTAATAATAAAATGAATGGAAATACAAATAACACAGTAAAATGTAATAAATGTACATAAAATTATAGTATTTTATGTACACTTCTGATAAAATTTCATAAGAAAGGTACCTAAATTAAATTAATTAGATACCTTTTTCTTATGAAATTTAATCTCACTATTAACAGTCTTATTTTCTAATTTCTTTATATTTTCCATAAAGCATCGTAAACGTAAAAATGAAAGCTAAGTACAAAAAAAAAAAAAAAAAATTAGAGCGCTTGAAAGTTTTCCTTAAAAGTAACAAGGTAAATAATTTGTTCACTTAAATAATTTCACTTCCTTCCATCCGTAGAAAGAATTCTCCTCCCGTAAGTTATCTAAACGTCATGAATGTGCCTTTCGTCAATCGTCAAGCAACGCGAAAGGTTATGACCTGCTTTGTTTTATTTTCAAATTACATTTTTCGGCGCAGAAGCTAAGTTAAGCTTGGTTCAAAATATTTTAAATAAACAGCATAATATCTGTTTTTATTAAAATCAGTTTTGAAAAATGATAATTGACTTTAAAAGAATATCAAAGTAAGATTTTAATCTTTTTTATCAAATCGAAAAAATGATTGAAAATGATTATCTGCCCTTTTTTTGACCAAAAAAACAATATTTTAACGAAAATTTCAGACGTGCTAGGAACGATTAAAAAATGTAAAAAATACCCCCAAAATACTTTGATCTTTCCTCTTTAATAATAATATGAACATTAGACGATAAATTTTGTTTTCATCAAGTTCGGCGTCTTTTTCATCATGCTATGCTCTTTTGTTTACATTTTCGTGGGTGAGTTCTCCCCCTTTCATTCTCATGATGTGTCTTAATCATGTTTTCAAATTGATTTTATTAAAAAACAACTGTATTTTTCCCATTTTCGGCCCCGTTAGAACCACCACAAGGTAATTTTATGTAGTCCTGTGAAGTTTTGTTGAAATCGGCTAAAAAATGTAGGAAATTCGATCCAACATATAAACGTTACAGACACACACACACACACACACACACAACCTGCGTTTTATAATAAGTAAGATAACTGGCAATAAAATACTCACTATTTCACCTTGCTCTTCAGTTTTTGAATCTGGTTTCTGCAATAAAACAAAAATTATCAAAAGCAACATTTGCAAGGAGGGAACATCTTTTCTCTGTGATGTAACCTATTTATATTTAATTTCCAATGACTGATATTTCAGGACCAGTTGATTCAAATGATTTCAAGATCCCTTAATTAGCTTCTTATATGTTATGTACAAGCCAGTAGCTTAAAAATGTACAATTTTTTATGTTTTTTTTTATAATATTAATGTATATATAGGAGTGGGTAATGTATATACACAGATGATTTAGAATAAAAAAATTCACAGTTTAAAAAAAAAAAAAACATTGCCACACTTTTAGAATTTACAATAAACAAAGTTTTTATTTATATACCTATATTTATAAGAAAACTCTCTCAGCCTACAATTTATCTAAGGAAAAATGCATGAAAATACAACACAGAGGTTAAATTAAAACATTTCTGTCTTTATTAAGAGTAAAATTTCCCCAAAGCAAAAGACAAATTATTTTGATGTGGAAGACAATTCACAACCATGTTTTTTCTGCTTCTATGAATTTTCTAAAATCAGAACTATATCTTATAGAAAAAGTTACTCAAAGTTTTGTTGCATTTACTATTCTGGGGTTTTTGTTTTTCAAAAAAACAAAGTTTAGAAAAGTGATCCCTTAATTTAGAGACAGATATCTTGAAAATTATAAATATTATTTTCTCACCTTTATTCATTTGTTCATTTCAGATCTCTTCAAAAATAATTCTTATTATAGGAAGCCTAACACTTACTGGGTAGCCTACACTTGTGGACTAATGTCATATCATGCAAAACTCAGTAAATATCATGGACTTGCTTTTTGGGTCAAAGAGTTGTATTTTTCCCACCCATACCATTGGTTGGGATACAAGTTCAGGTAAAAACCAGTATTTTTGAATGCTGATTTTCAGGACCTTCCCAACTGATGGATGAACAGAAAACAATTTTTCTGCTCCAATTTTTCTCTATTTTCCCTTCTACCAAACCAAGTTAAACTTACAATAATTTTATTTTTACTTTATCCTCTAGATTTCAAATTGCAACAATTTCTCAAAAAGATTAACAAGGAAAATGCAGAATCAACTGATAAAATTTTGAACTAAAATCATTCAGATTACATTTTTGATCCACCGATCTGAAAACTCTCAACAAATACCTACACAGAAAAGTTCAGCAATAGTAAGAAATGAGTTTGTCAATGTTCATAGGAATGATGTTAAATGAAAAGACCTTTCCAATATTGATAAGCTAGAAAATCATATTCAGTAGATGTTTATATTATTATTACTCACTATTTCAGCTTGCCCTTCAGTTTTTGAATCTGGTTCCTGAAAAAAAAGAAAATTATCAAACTAACATTTGCAAAGAGAAGTCATTTTTTACTATGAAATAACTTATGTATATTTCATTTCCAATATCTGATATTTTTATATCAGTTAATTCTCTACATTAGCCTCTACTATGATACACAAAAATCAATAGCTTACAAAAAAAGCACAATTTTTTGTATGTGGTAAATACATATCTATACATATTATCACACTGTAGTATCTGTTGATTGCTTTTGACTCATTTATTAGACATAAATCCCCTATTCACAAAACATTTTTCTGTTGCCAGAATACCAATTCGGATTCATTTTATGATTTTCTTTACAATGCCCCTTGGAGTGAAATTTTTAAAATTCCTATTGAAGATTGAGCTACAGAGGTTTCTTCTTAGGTAAAAGTAGGCATCAATGTTTTTGTGCCATCTTAGAAAAAAACACAATCTTCTCCTTTGTTCACACCTGCTGTTCAACTACTATAGCCCACAGGAATCACTTTTTGCAGCTGTACAAACATGCTATATCTGATCACAAAAGATGCTTCTTTGTGCCCACTCATAATAATTGTAAATATTTCAGGAATGAAACTAAGTTTTTGTTCACTAACAGAATGAGGCACCATATATCCTCTAACAAATTGGTTCTTGTGACTACTGGTAGTTCTGTAATAGTGTGTTAAATAATACTAAGTCCTTTCTCCCTCCTCTCTTCACTCTGCTGATAAAGCATAATGCTTTGCTCATAAATTCTCTTCTAATTTTACTCTTGACTCATCTGGAGCATTTTTGCCTAATATTCCACTTAGAACTGGTTTTCTACTGTGTGATTTGTATATTCGAGAAATCTTTTTAGAGAAAAATATGAGTGCATATCTTTTTCTAATAAAGTTTCTTCTTGGGTTAAAGCCAGCATTGATGTTTTTGTACTTTCTCAGAAATACCAGGTGAAACTGCCTCTTGTTTTCTCTATACTCTACAATAAATGCTTTGCTGCTGCTTACTTTCCTGTTTGTTGGAAATCCTCTTCTGTTTTTAAGAACTCAGGCAAACCATCTGATCATTCTATCGACCTGTTACTTTTCTACCTCTTTTTGGCAGTCTTAAAGGCTCCAATCAACTCTGAATAGGTTAAGCAACTCCCCACACAGGGTCTTCTTTCAGACAAACAATGTGGATTTCACTTCTCTAAGGTCAATTGCTGATGTATTAAGAGTTTTGCTGAGTCTATCAAAGAATGGTGAATCTCAGTTTGTTACTTTAGATATATCAAAGGTGTTTGACAAGGTTTGGTGAGCTGGTTTGCTCAACAAGTTGAAGGTTTGTGATATTTCTGGACATATTTTTTATTGGATTCAGTCTTTATTATCAAATCATGAAATGAAAGTTATCTTGAATGGCAACTCTTCTAGATCTTTTTACATTAATGTGAATGTTCCTCAGGGCCCTATATTTGGACCTACTTTGCTCCTAATTTTCATCAATAACCTTCCTGATGTCATCAGTTCAAGACTTAGTATCTATGCTAATGACACAACTATTTATTCCTCTCTTAATGGTAAGTCTGAAAGGTTTGATAAGGTCAAATTGGCAGTTGAGCTAAAAATGACTTTCAATCTGGTGTTAACTGAGGAAAGAAATAGTTTATAAAAAAACAAACAAAATGAAACTGCTCTCTTTTAACCATCTTAGAGAATATTTTTTGACTTTCATCAACACATGGTTGATGCTAACCTCCAGGTGAGTAATTCATTACATCTTCTCAGGCTAACATTTTCCACTAATACAAACTAGAAATATTATATTGAATAAATTGCTAGGTCTGCTGCTAGGAAAATCAGTTCACTGTGTCATGCTAGACAAGCTTTCTCACCAGGATCTATCTTACACATTTATAAATCTATCATTCCTCCATGAATTGAATATTGCTACCACACCTGGTCTAGTGCTTTTGCTATGTATTTAGAGATTCTTGATAAAATACAAAGAAGAATCTGCAATGTTATTTGTCCTTAACTGGTATCTCAACTTTAGTCACTTTCCAACTACCATAATGTAGCTTCCTTGTGCTTTTTCTATAAATATTTTCATGGTAACTATTCTGATGAGCTTTACTCTTTGGTAGTTAGACTTTACAAATTTAAGCATACTACTAGATTAGTAACTAGCTCTCATCATTTTACAGTTGAAATTGCTAGATATAACTTAAGTTATATGCTAACAGTTTCTTCTCTTGCACTTATTGCATGTGAAACTCTCTTCCAGCTTCTTGTTTTCAGTCAACATTGATCTTCAGATATTTAAATGCAATGTCAATCATCTTCTGTTTCCTTGAATCTTGTTCTTTTATTGTCCTCTCTCTTTAATAATGATTTTTCTCAGGTTCTTTCACTCTCAGTAATTCCTTGCTTTTTAGTGGCTTTATCACCTTGCTTGGGGGTGAAATGATTAAAAAAATGTATTTATGTGTACATAGGGCTAACTTAGAATACAAAATTGATGTTTACATTTTAGAATACAAATTCACATTTGTTCATATTTTTGATCTCACAATTTCAGGTTTTATTTATATAAATCTTTGTTTGTAAGAAATTTTTGTCTATCCACAATTTCTTTTTTCTTTTTAGATAAATATAGTAAGATGCAACAAAGAGATCATTCACTAAGAGTTATGGTATTCCAGAGAAACTATTGTGGAATATTTAATGCATGAATGCACATGTCAGTAGTGCATTACACTCAAAATGAACAGAAATAGTATCATGACTAGCAAAAGAAACCCAGAAAAAAATGAAGTCACAAAGTGAGGAAGTTTTACTTTCATCAGAAATCATAACTTTAGGTTTTGTTTTGATAACCGGTAATAAGATTGTCACTAGAGGTATCAGTGATACAGGCTTGTATCATACATATTGATAATAGAATGCTTTTTGGGTGGTGGCTATACAAAAGGTAGAGGAAATCAAAATGAAAATAGTTCATCAGAGGAATGACTTTAAAACGAAAGAATAGAAAAGGAATCAGACTCATAAAGGACAACTGGTTAATTAGCAAACAAAATGTCTATCCAAAGTCAGAACAATCACATTACTTACTTCTGAAATCACTTTCTCCTTTACAGGTTTACCTTCCTGTTTAAAAATAAAAATTTGTAATAATTATAACAGAGGTGGTTTTAATAACATATTGGTATTAAGAAATTTGAATATAATTCATCACAACTAAGGTATTTAAAAATGTACATGCTTGCATATCTAAAGCAAAATGTAGAGTTAGGACCCATAATTTACAACCATTTTATTATAATCGCACTTACCTAATTTATTTATTCTAGTATCTTCAATTTTATTGTTTCAATCATTGCATTAATTTCCATTACTCAATTCTGTGAATTGTTTTAGAAAGTAGTTCCTTAAAGATTACCAATGCAACATAAACCTGTGGAAGGCTGAAGAATGCCTCAGTCAAAATTTAGTAAGTTTGAATTCTTGGAATAACAACACTGCATCATATCTCAGAACTTCAAACACCAATTTATAGATTTATTGGCACTAGATGATAATGTTATCAGCAGGTCAGTGCTTTGATAACTAAAGAGTAATTTTCTTTTAGTGTTCCTTTTTATATTAGATATATCAATATAGATTAGAAACTAAAAGTAAAAAGAATAAATGTGCAAATACAGCATTGCTCCATCAGTTATTTGATAACAAGAAGGAATTTTATCTTCAGCAATCTGGAGTACTGCCCCATTTTTATCTCCATGAAAGTAGCATGTCCACCTTGTTCACCAAATTTAACACCATTTGATTTCTTCTTATGAAGATATTTTAATGACAATGTTTGTACCACATAACCCAATACACATGTACAATTACAAATGGCAATCAAACAGAACTATTGTACAGTTGTAAGAAATATGCTAACCAATGATTACAACTCATTCTCTTGATGACACAAGTTATATATTGCTGTGAAAGTAGGTAATTTTGCAAACTTAAAATAAAGTATCTATAAATAATTAAAAAAGGAAAGGTAGAATAGGAGATAGATATAACATTTCATTAAATAAAGATAACAGTTATTTGATATTTTCTGCTGAAACAAGCTCCCATGAAAAAAAATAAATTAATGATGAATGTTCATCATCAGAATTAATTTCCATCTTGTTTGAAGTTGCTGGTGGTTTTATTTTTGTAAGGCCTGATCCAACTATTTAAGAGGTTAGGATGAGGAGTACGTCTTAAAAGGAAGATAAGCATAATTCTCTGATGGGGAGAAACTAAATGTTTTAATAACCAGAATGAAGGAGACACTAAGTCTTTTCTCAATTTCAATATTCCTAGCAGGAACGTTTAATAAAATATTTTAGGAATATAGATAGTCTCCAATTTATGATTGCTCAGCTTCTGATATTTGAAGTTATGATCATATTTCTTTTATTAAAATTGCAATTCCTTCAGTAGTCTATGAATAAATACCATTTTTATTAAATTCCATTAATCAGTTGAAATTTAGTAGAATATTAAAATGTGTGTGTATTTGGGCACTGCAATTTTCTAATTGAGCTCCTACTTTTTTGTACAAATGTAAACAAATTTCCAACCAAAAAAATTGTTTCTGTATAATGAAAAAAATTCTTTTTATGTCAGATATTTCTTTAATTCTTCTTTTTAATGATATAAATTTTATGAAAATTATTTTTTTGGCAAGGATTATCCAATTTTTTTTAACATGTCATGGTAAAGGGAGATGTTGATGACTGTTGAAATGCTTGTTTTATCTGACAGCAATTAGTGATTTGTTTACACAATTATATGAATAGTAATTTACTTATTTTACTTAACTGTTTTTTGTTCAAGTAATAAACCAACAATTGTAATTTAGTGTTTATCTTAAGCTTATTTTAACAATGAAAATATCCAAGAATTGAAACTTATTACTAAGCATAGTTTAGATGTGGCACAAAGCTGGAAGTATGGAGCACCAAGTAAGGATCAAACTCACTACTCAGTTGTATTTGATCTAGGAAGACATGTTTGATAACCATTACACCATGTCGAAGTGGCTAATTTCCTAGCTTTATAGAATACATTTAAAAGTATATTTTCAGTCCCCAATCCTATCATAAGTCAGGGACTATCTGTATTTCCTCTTTTCTTGCAATCCTTTATTTGAAATATATGTTCAAGTTTCATCAGACAGATTGGTTACCAGTTTCACTGCTTGCATGTATCTAGGTGTGTATTTCTGCATTACACAAAAATTTTCATTTCCATTCCCAATAAAATACATAGTCACAACCCCAGTTCATGTATCTGCTGAACAAGAGACATACAAAACATTAAATTCACCAACTCTTACCTTGATAGGCTTTCATGGAGAGTCTAACAATTGAAACTTTACTTTCCAGACATTTTCTAACAACAGACCTATTTTGTACATCATGTGCAAGCTGTTTGTTCTTGTTAAAGTTTTAAATCTGTTAGTTCATGTCTTAACTCAAAATGCAAAATAACACAAATGGAAATTGTAACTTGATGCATCATAGAAACACGTACATCATTGACCTCAAAACTAGTGCTTATGGATCAGGATACTCTTTATTTGTATATAATACTAGTAAATATTCTGCTAATACTTTATAAAGGAGACTGTATTTTCAAAATTAAATAACAGGAGAGGAAGTTAACACTTGGGATTTTCTTCACATAGTTTTGTTTTTAATTAAGTTTTCCAACAAAGCACCATTTAAAATTTAAATTTACATCAAACATTTCACAACCATACTTACTTTCAAAGAATGCTTCTTGATTTTAGAGGGTGGTTCCTGCATAATAAAAAAACATAACAAATTTTATTAGGCTGACAGCAAATAGTGGAATGACATGAAGTATTTTTCATTGATAATTATGAACTAGAAAGAAAATGCAGCTACAAGAAATATTTTTTATTAAAAAAAAGAAGTAAAGCTGATTCTTGTTACTAGGAGTTGTTTAATGCCAGATGAAACTGGATTAGAAAAGCAGTCATTTTGGGTGACACAGCATGGATTGTAAACACCCTGCAATGAGCAATAGAAATTGTATCAAATTAAGGTTATCTGAGTTTTGCCATGATGATTCTATAAGTTCAAAGTTCAGTGGAATTGTAATGGTAATGGATGAAATTAACCAGTTCCATACAGGAAATATTTGGCATTCATTGACTGAAAAGTTAGTGCTACTATCAGTTGGAATTTATAAAATCTTTTTGTTAAAACAGTTTTTCAGTGAATTAGCCATCTTAAGTCCTCTGTTATCACTATTTATAGCACTGATAGGAGTTTCCTTCCAAGCAGGGCCTGGTGGGTACTACCTCCGATTCTTTCCGGGAAGGGGGGGGTGATGATAAATAGCCCCAAGTAGAGCTTTGTGACCTTTGCTTTTTGCATTTGCTTTTTTTCTATCTACATTTATATACATTACAAATTAAACTAAGCACAACTGACTATTAAAGGATGAAAATATTTTTGTGAATTCTGTTTTTTTTCATCAAAATTCGTAAATTTGTTTTGCTCATACTAAGTCTCAAAAAACAAACACTATATAAAATTTACTATTATTTATCCATAATGTTGAATGTGTTAAAATTATTCAATTTTTTAACAAGAAAAATCTCAAGTTGATGTTAAAAATTGCCACAAAATATTGTTGATTTATTTAAGATAGAATGAACTATTATGACATGTCTCTAATTTGTATTTAGATACATTGAATTTATTTTTAATTTTTCTAGTTGAATTGTTCACCTATATTACATATGATCCATTATTGTACGTAATTAGGTTTTATATGAATACTATATAGTAGAGTGCCCTCCCAACCATATCATAGATTTGGGGAGGGCATACAAGATCCTTGTTTAAGGTAGTGTGGAATTAACAGCTGCATTAGATCATAATTTTCCCTTCTTATTGCATGTGCCATTTTTTTTTGTTACTGTTTGAAAGTAGGACAAGAAATGTATGACTATTCATAGATCTGTTTCTCTTCACCTATTTTACAAGTAAAAAAACAAACAAAAAAACTAATAAGTTTCAAAGTTACAAGGGTAGAGATAGGGTAGGCTGCTGTAGAGTGACTGTTAACAAGTACATGTTGGAGAACATTTGCTTGAGCAGTGACTTAACTCTAATAAGATATTCTTCTATAGTAACTTGTCAGGCTATGTTTTGTAAATATCTACAAAGATGCAGAGATTTTAGATACCAGACTGAATAAGTTGACAAAAATCATATCTATTTCATTAGTTTTCTTCTGGCAAATTGTAAATTAATTTTTATGCTTGGTATGTGCTGATTGTATTCTTTCTTTATTGTTACATGCAAATTTAACTTGACTTTTTTGCATCTTTTGATTTTAGAAATTTCCCCTTTAACTCCCACATAATACTTTATTATTTATTTATTATTACTTAATATCATTGTACATGTACATAGAACTGGATAAGCAAAAATTTATCAGAGGAAAAAACAAGCTAACAAATTTCATTTTGACTAAACGTTTACGATGGAAGAATTTTTTTTATTAATTTCAAAATGGGAAACATAAATAACACTTGATTTTTTAAAAAATAACATATGTACTATCCTAACTCCTCTCTTCTTCATATCTTCTTTTTTTTTTCCTTTGCTGCCACCTGTTACCTGCAAGTGTTCAGCCTTTTTATTTCTTTGTTACCAAACACTTGTTTTCTTGGTTTTTCTCTCTCACTTGTTGAAGGTGACATCAGTCAAGCCAATAGATGCTACTACCACCAGATACAAGTATAGAAGCTAGGCAAAATACAATGGTGTTTTGAAGACTGCAGAATTCCTAATTCTAGCTCTTTTGTGTGTTGCTTTCTTTCTTTTAATGTTGTGCAGTGGGTTGGGTTGAATTGTCTCTTAACAGGTACTAAAAGAAAGTTAAGCTGTAAGGAATTGCCAACATTTCTCATTCAAGTGTAAGTAAATTTAACTGAAAGAGTTGTATTTTACATCAGCTGGGTACAACAGAGAACTTCACTAGTTAGCTCACCAACTTCAGAGATATTGATTCTAGTTTCATATCAATTCTTGTTGAAAGATCAGCCAGCCACAATTACAAGCAAAGCAGATGGATTGAAATCTAGAAAGCAATTTGATTTAGTTGGTCTGTGGTTCTAAAATATACCAACACCATTAATCAATGACCCACAGTGCACAACTACTTAGTCTGCACTTTCCCCAGAATCCCGATGACCAGATAACAATTTGATGTATAAGTCCATCATATTAATCATCTTTTTATCAGCTTTTCCTAGAAACATTTCCCTTTTCCTATTTTACAGCTGTGTGAAGAAAAGCAAATATTCAACTGAAATAAAAAAGTTTGGATTTTTTTATGGCAATACTCTAAGCCAAATGTGGTTTTACCAAATGTTGTTTCATGCATATAACAAAAAATATAGCTCATGTCATAAATAGAGAATGTTAGTTCCGATCAAAATAGGGGAAATATTGCAAAACACTTCCCCCTCCCCAATCTATAAGCAAAACCACACAAATGCATGCTGGGATTTCTTCCTAACCTATAAAATAGATCACTTCTTGGTCTCATCTGACTTGTCTTGAAGTCAGAATGCTATGTTTGTATTTCCAAATTCAGCCCCAATTCTTACTTTGTGAACTTTTTGCCATATTACTGTTAATTTGCCTTGTATATATAATTTGCTTGCTTTATATTATTTTTGCCCTGTTCTTTTCTTTTCTTTTTCTTGTTATTGTTTATTACAAACATTTTCCAATTCTTTCTGTTAAGCAGTTCTGCCATTTACATCTAACCATGGCCACTTATTCTACACAGAATCATCTACCAACCTGGCTAGAATCTGAAATATCAATGTCATGTGAACTCCTGGAGCTTAATGGATTATATTGTTAAATCCAAGGTTAATTCCAAGTTTGAATCCACAGTCTGTCTCATGCCACTCATTTCACTTTTCAAAACCTATTTATCTCATTACAGTATTCATTATTGTTCCTAGAGGCCTACTGTATCATATATATAAGATAATATTTGATTAGAATATTAACTCAGTACTGAAATATATAAATATTGCCTCTCTTTTCAGGTTTCTTGCCTATAAGCTCTCTTTTAATAATCTGAGAGAACATTTTTCCACTTTCTATCAGCATGGCTAAACTAACCTCTAGCAGAGTGACACCTGGCAACTTCTAAGGATAACATTTTTCACTGACATGAAGTAGAAAGATGATATTGAATCAACTGCTAAGTCTGCTGCAAGGAAAGTTAGTTCACTGTGTCATGCTAGACAGTTTTTCTCTCCAGAATCTATCTTAGACATTTATAAGTCTACCATTCACCCATGCATTGAATATTGTTGCTACATTTAGTCTGGTGCTTCTGCTATATATTGAGAGATTCTTGATAATATAAAGAAGAATCTGCAATGTTATTGGTCCTGACTTGGTATCATGGCTTCAGTTACTTTCCTACCACTGTAACATTGATTCCCTGTGCCTTTCATGGTAATTTTCCTCTATTATACTTAGACATTATGAATTTAAGCATACCACTATATTGGCAGCAAGCTCTCATCTTGTTACAGTTGAAATGGCTAGATGTAACTGTAAGTTCTATGCTAACAGTTTCTTCTCTCACATTCATTGCTTGTGGAACTCTCGTCCTTGAAATTTCTCTTCTTGTTTTCCACTCAAATTTGATCTTCAAAAATTTAAATTCACTGTCAATCATTAACTTCTGTTTTCTTAATTCCTGATTGTTTATTGTTCTCTCTCCTTAATAATGTTTTCTTTTTTTTATATACTCTCATACTCAGTAACCCCTTGCATCTTAGTCAGTTTATTGCCTTGCTTGGGGCGAAATGATTTAAAAAAATATTAATGCTAGAAATTTATATAAATATCTGTATGTCACTCTATGCTTGTTCATACCTATCTACCAGCAAATGCACAGTGTACATATTGTTTTCTATACTTTCTAGGAACTTACTAATTATTGTCAAAAGTTCCCACACAACCCACAGATCATTGAATGATTCTCTTGTAGGTCAATAAGAGCTAAATCAGACTATTGAAGAAAAGAAATGTAACATAATCATTTCAGTATCTTAGTGGCTAATTTACTTGGCATGACATTGAACATTTAATATATAAATTGCTATTAAAAATCAAATAAACTAAGTAAATAACAAAGGATTAGATTTTTTTCAAGCATAAATATGGTATAAAATACAGTTTTAAAAAATTGAAGATTTTTTAATGAAGAATTTCATCAATTTTCTGTACTTACAAATGATCTGAGCACTTGTATGATTGATATTTAAATAGTCCTGAAATGTTCTTTCAGACCATGTTCATTTGGAACTTTATTGTTGACTTCCAACCAACATGAGCTTTGTGTAGCTACAGAGAGATAATGACCATAATAGGTAACTAGATAAGCAGCTCCACTGTAGAACAATGGTTAGTGATCTAGTTTCACACACCATTTCTACCATAATGAGTTTAATCCTCACTGGATAGTTCACACTTGTGGTTTTGTACTAGACTAAGTTAAGTTTAGTCAATATCAATAAATAGAAATAAATATATACAGTACTGGGGAAAAGTCTTTGACTATACTTAACTTTTTCAAAAAATTCAGCAAAGTTAGAAGTATTTATTTTTTAGTTTATTCTTAAAATACATTTAATGGCTATATAAACACTTAAATCCAACATCAAAATTCAGAATGTTTATAATGTAATGAAGTGAGTGTGCCAATTAATGAGACTTTGTCAGCTGTCTGTGTGCAGCCTCGGTAACATAACTGTACATGGGTCTTATATTCTCGTCTTCAATCATTGCAAGACTGCTCAACTCCTCTCTGGAGTGACTATTTATATAACTCTCTCATGCTTGACAATCCAATGTTTTCAAAACCGGATAGTAATGTGCTTCTATCTTTGGCAACTGGGAGTAACCTCATGTCAATCTGGCTTTCCTTGATCTGGTGTGAAATTGAGTGCAAATTCCATTCTGACATAATACTATAGTAATTCTGGAGGCTGAAGTCAATATTTAGTATGATTATACACCCACACCTGCCTTACATGTAGAACTGGCTGTACTGTTTTAAGTAATATTCAGATATGTTACAGCAGAATTCTTTGTAACTTCCCAGATCTTTTCTTCAAATCTGGATTATACTTTGTCTTTTTTGTCTAAGAAATTCCATATTGCTTCTATAACATTTTATTTTGGTCTCTGTGGAGGCTAATCTATGATAGTGAAGGTCTTATCAGTTTGTTTTTTCAAAATATAATTTCATCCTCTCTAAGTGGTATTTGGAATCAATGACATGCCAATAAAAAGCTGTTCCCAATCAAACACTTTCTAAAAGGAATCATTACTCATGATGCCATAAATCCTGATAAAGTCCTTAACATCAATGGCTGAAATGCATCTCTACATCATCACAGGAATTACATCATACTTTATTGAAGGTTGCACATACTCATTATTATATCTCTGTACAATAATTCACACATACAGTCAGTGATTAAACTCTAAAATTTCAAACTTTGATTAATCACTCCAATCTTTATAAACATTGGCATATTTCAGCTACTTCTTTTTCCCTTTGTGTTTTTTTTTTTTGATACTATTTTTCTATGAATCTAATTTCTCCCCAAACTTCTTTGAATTGTAGAAGGACTTTTCTAGATTTTTCTTTTCTCTTAACAGACTGGCCTAGTGAAACTCCTTATTAGATGTAAAGTTTTTAGGCCTTCCACTTCTTTTTCAGCTTAAGGTTATATCATGTTGAAGCACTGGTACAATCGCCAAAGGCTGATCAGTATCTAAATGGGTAACTATTTGGGAATACTAGGTGCTGTATGCTTGGATGTGCAGGTGGTGTAATGGATAATGTCTCATAATTGGAAATTGGAGAGCCGAGTTCCAATTCCATTTGGGATTGTTATATTCATTTATGTGCAAATAACCTTTGAAAAAGTATAAATGCACCTCTTCTCCCCCAGCTGTGGGCTAATTAGTACGACTTGTATCAGCAAATCATTATTATCTCCAAAATAATTCTTACAATTGAAAAATATTTTTGGGATTTAAATAACCTGCAAAAAGGTTGATAAGCTGTAAAATGATCAAGCAAAGTTGAATAATGCTTTATAATAAATAAACAGGGCATCTACTCAAATATGAGTATCCACTAAAAATAATGTTTAAGTAATAAAATCTGTAAGATTAACAAATAAAAATCCATCACTTCTTTAAAAATTGCCTTATTTATGTTAGGATACAAAATTGCTGATATAAATGCTTTGAGAGTTCAAGAAAGATTTGAATTTATAAGGCACTATTCAACTTTACTTGATCATTGATGCACTTTGTGGCCAAGATGGTCTAAAACAGGGTTGTCCAAACTTTTTTCCTAATGAGCTAAATTATAAATTTAGGTATATTCACCAGGTCACAAAAATATTTTATATAAATATGCTTTTAAAAAGTTCAAAATGTTGAGAATATCAAATTTTAATAACAAATATATATAATTACAAAAATACTGTGTTATTGACAATAAAAATAAAGAAATTATACATATGCAAAATAAAATAAATTCAATATCATTTTTGACATTGCTTTCCTTTTATGATATTGTCAATATCTGTTATTATGGTACTAGTATTTATTCTAAGAATGTTAGTTAAACAGGAATCACTCAACCTATTTCATTCAGCAGTTTTTTTGATGTCTTTCATGAACAAAAAGAATTGTTCACAGCAGTATATACTACCCCACATGCATAACAGTTTTCTAGATAAGCTAAATAATTTTTATTTAGCTCTGGCTCTTGCCCCACATGCCAGCTGGTGTGACTCAGTAAAGAACTTTTCCCTCCTTCCTCTTTTAGCTCAATGGGGAAGTGTATAGGATACAAATCCTATATCATTCCAACAAACAACTGAAAAACACAAAGTAGATTTGCACACCCACAAAATTGGATCAAAACGACTCAAAACAGATTTCGCAATAAGGTGTGAAATTAATTTTCTGACCAATGAAAGGAGGCGATTTGCTAAACTAAAAAAAAAGATAACAATCCAGTGTGAAAAAAAGTCAGCTATAAATAGAGAGACTCAAGTCAATCACCAGTCAGAAGGGCGCAAAGATCATAGAGGACAGAAGACTGACAGTCAGGTCCGTCACTGACTCAACCAGACACTAAGAGCAGAAAGTGGGGTAGGAAAGGAAAACAACAACAACAACAAATTTACAACTGACTCCAAAACAATTCAACCCGATAAGTACATTTTCCTCTTATCTTTTATTTCTCATTCACACTCTTTTTTTCAACTTAAATTGATCGCCCCTTTTTCCTTTCCACCTACTCAGCAGATACACAAAAACAAAAGAAACAGACATTACTCTAGTACTCTGTTGAAAGACAGTGAACACAGACATTTTTTGTTCAAATCACATTTGCTTAAACGAACTAAAGCATTAATCTTTTTTACTCTATTCAACAAGATATAAAAATATACGAATTTGTTTATTCTGCATGAATGACATTAAATATACAATGTTCTATTTTCTATAAACGTTCCTTATCGTGTTGTCTATTCTTGAAATTTGCATTGTATTTTGTGGGCAGGGTATCCCGTATTAAATTCTCCTTTTAATCCGGGTACACTGTACCCCACAAGTGAACCTACTAGCACAAACTGAGAATAATTTTCTCGGCATATGTTACTAAAGTAAATAAAAATATATCTAAAGATTTTAGGGTGCAGTGGGCCATATGAAAATATTAAATGGGTCACAGGTTGGAAATCCCTGGTCTAAAGCATATCAGATGTAACAATGGTTTCTCCTGCAAAGGGGGAAACAAGTTCAAATCCTACCAGAGGCTGCATATTTTCTTTAATAAGATTTCTTGAATATTCAGGCCCATAGACAAAAATAAATAAATAAATAAATAAATAAATATACTATCTAATAAATAAACAGAGCATCTACTCAAATATGGGTATCCAGTAAAAATAACCTTTAAGTAATAAAATCTATCAGATTAATAAATAAAAATCCATCACTTTTTATATATATGTGTGTGTGTGTGTGTGTGTATATATATATATATATATATATATATATATATATATATATATATATATATATATTTTGACTATATTGTAGCTAAGTATCATAATTTTATGAAAAAATATAAAAAAAAATACAATCAGATTTATAAATACAAATCCATATATATATATGATTTGGCTATATTGTATCTAAGTGTTAAAATTTTATGAAAAAATTAAAAGAATACAAACCAAGAGTATGATTAAGACCAATATATAGATAGATAGATAGATAGATAGATAGATAGATAGATAGATAGATAGATAGATAAGAAAACTGTTTTGTGATTATTTACTAAATTTAGCTTAGTCTTGCACAAAGCTTTGGTAATGTGAGGTCTATAGAAGGCTGAATTCAGCACATTAGTGAACTGGTTTATCAGACCAGCTAACTAATCATTGTTCCATAGAAAATCATTCTATAAAACTGTTTCTGTGTATTCCATTCTTTTTTGCATCAAAGAATCCACTTGTAATATAATAATATAAGTGACTGGGCAATTACAAAAAATATTGTCAGGCATTCACAATGGAAATTAACAAATGTCACTTCCCTTTATAACTAATATCTACATTCATAAAATGTGTGTAATGATATCTTTAAATTTCATTCTATGATCATTATAACTGGAAGTTCATGAAAGTTTTTTTATGAATACAATGTGAAACATTTTGACAAATTTTAAACTCAATTTCATAATGCAGAGAAATTATAAATAGGAAAAATTGATTAAATATTTCAAGAAAATTCTCTTATTCAATCTAAATGAGTCAAAATAATGTAATGGAATAACCTGTCACCCCCATGAGTGACTACACTATAAGTAGTAACTACATATAAGTATCTGTAAGTCAACAGACTACAGAATCTAGCTGGGATCTGTTGAGTACAACTCAGACTTATGCGAGAACTACTGACCTTCCAATAGTAGCACTCACTACTGGAGTGACTTGCGATGACCTTGTGCATAACCGTTACCTTTATTCTTATTGCAGTGGTTTTTACAATAAACCTTTACTTATTTTATCCACCATGTTTTTCAAGTATATATTCCTATTAGCACAGAATATAACACAAAATAAATAATCATAAATTCCTTGAACTATTTATCCTCATTCTTGTTATGTTGGTCATAAAATTTTAGCTGGTGAACTCTCCAGCCTTCCTCATGGTTGAAATAACAAAGAGGAAAATGCTGGCTCAATTAAGGAAATTATACGTTGATTCATCTCAAAATTCCAGGCAATAATTAAAATGATAAAAGATAGTTCTGAGGCAGACTTACATGATGCTTTTAAAAAACAAGATAAATGCCATTTATTAACACACAAAATATTACTATATATATACCAGTGGAATGTGGTGAATCTGGCTTTGTTATACTGTAATTAAGTTTTGAATTATTTTCATTTCAATTTATACAAATTATTTTCTTAATTGTAATAACAGTAGTAATTGTTAAACAATGAAGACATTTTTTTATTTTGTTATAAAGAAAATGAATGTCTGGTTTTAAATTTTCATAAACAACTTGCAAGAAAAATTCATGCCTCTGAGATTATATACATACACATGCAAACATATTACTGGATTTCTTTTGAATTCATTCAACCTTCACTTTGGTGTAATGTCATTTCAAATTATATTAAACATCATTTCTAACTTAAATCTATAACAATTGTATATTTCTAAATTATTTTAGAATCTATAACCACTTAATTTTGGATCTTGCTATGTGATTGAGATAGTTGCATATTTCTCACCAGTGTTAGAGATTAGCATTCTAACCCTGGTAAAAAATAATATTTCAAATACTGATTTTCAAGGCATGTAGATCTTCATAACTTTAGAGATTGGAACAACACAATCTTCCTACAATTATTTCTCCCATTTGGTTTTGTATCAAACTAAACAAAACTTATTAAATATATAGCTTACTTTGTGACCAAGATAATTAAATAATTCCTACTGATACATTGTTCACATTCAGTTACAAGTATGGATTTGGCATATTGGTTTTTCTAGGCAGGTAGGCTCTATACACTTGAAGGATTAGTATCACACAATTTTCCTACCCACAATATTATATCCAGTTTAACTTTCTGTTTAGTAAATATCTAAAACACCAATTTTGTTCTGTTGTTTGTCAATCAGGTAAAAATTCTTGCTGGTTAAGTACATTCAAGCAACATTGACAAGATGGCAAACATTATTCAAGTAATAATATAAAAAGAATATGTTTTTATTAATTATTGACTAGTCAGAAATTAATTTTGACTATGACTTTCAAACAAGAATCTGTTTTTTTCTTTCTTTAAATTCCATGATTTGATTTTATATGCACTAAAATACATTTGAATCAAGACAAATAAGTCTTTTTCCCTTCAATGTATGATGGATAATCAAAGATTGAAGGGAAAAAACTAACTACTTTTGTTCATTCAGTAACAGTAGACAAACAGAAGCAAATTTCACTGAACATAGTTGTACTTACTTTGGTAACTTGGATTTTCGTTCGAGATTTTGATTCCTACAACAATGAACAAATAAAAAATATCGTCTGAAGAGATGCAAGTAGACAAATTAACATTTTTAAGTAAACATCACAAAGAGAGATATCTAAGTTAGGCAAAGAAGTACATGAAAACTGGTTTCTTAATAGTAATTTTTAGGGATGGACCTGATGGCTTATCTAGAGGTTAGGTTCTGCATTGAAATAATTAAATAGAAAAGTTTAGACAACAACAGGAGGAGGTGAAGTATTGTTTTGAAAAAGCTTTATAGCCAGTAAAATGATAAGTCTCTTTAATGTTGATGATTTTGCCAAGATAAATATACAGAATTAGCCTAACTTATCTTCTTGGACAAGACATTTGAGTGATACAGGTCACAATGAAGAAGCTTTAAACTAAAAAGTGTATTCAAGAAAAACAATGCTCCTTTCCATTCTGCAAAGCTGACTATTGCCCACCTTGCCAGAAAATGTTTCAAAGGTGCCAAATTAATGGAAAGGTTCCAGACCTCTCCAAAAAAATGTGGCTCATGAATAAAAGAGATATATATGAGAAATTAAAATAATATTCATAAAGCAATGAAACTGCTACAAGTAAAGTTTAAACAGTAGAAATGTTAATAAAATCAGTAGCTGAAAGTCTAATGAAGGTTATAGAATGTCAAGGAGCTCATATTAAAATGTAAAGAAATAAAATAATAATTTATTCTGCTATATGGGGTATTGTGTTAATGAAATATGTTTCTATGGCCGGTAGCCTTTGGATTTATTTATAAATAATACATAAAATAGCATGTTTTACTTAGTTTGCTAGCACTATAAAATCTGGCACACCATAAAAGAAGTTATTATCAATATTTTGTTTTAGTGAGTAGTGATAGTATAAAGTGAAACTTACACAATATATTGGTCATATAAATATATTCTGAGAATTTTACCAACATTAGTTGATTAATACCACTTTTATTGTGAAAACTATGACTTGCATAATAAAATCTGATAAAGTGTATATCAGATACAACGCTTTTAACTTGTTATAACCTTTTAATCAAACTACAAATGAAAATAAAATAAAACCAATTAATGTAGGGGAATAATCAGTGTATATTTGTTATATATCAGATTTGGCAATTTTCCCAAGATTTCTTTTTAAGTGCTTCACATTCAGATTTATGTTTTCCCATTTTCTTCAAAGATCAATCAAAGATCATTTTTTCTTTTTCTTGTGCAATTTCACCAACCTCTATGCCATTTACTCTAATTTTAATTCATACTTATAAGTATACTTACCTTTGAAGGATGTTTCTTCATATCACTTGCCATATCCTTCATAAAAGCAAATTATTGATAAATATTATTATTTGGAGCAAAGATTTTTAAAGAAACATCCTACAGTTATATTAAATAAAATAATAACCTAACAAAATTAATTAAAATAAAACCCTCAAGATAAATTATTTCATATCAAATAATTGATTTGTTTGGATTGTTTTCTGACAAACATGCATTTTATGAAACCAGCTTCTATAATATAGTTCTAAAAGTTTTGCTAGTATTCAGTATTTAGATAAATGTCTTTCAAGATTCAACTATGCTTCTTTCTTGTTTTAATTCCAAATATCTTTCAGCTCATTATGTTACTGAAGGGATGTAATTTATTATTATTATTATGTAAATAATGGATAGCGGCTTGGATTGATGACAGCCAAATTTGAATTCCAGTTGAATCCATTACATTCACTTATGTGCTAATACCCTTGGGAAAGGTATGAATCCTCTTCTTCTCTTCCCAGCTATGCATAAGTAGCAGGACAGACCAGGTTCTATAGCCTTGGATGGCAACTTGTCAACTACAGAAAGAAATGACAACCTACTGCAAGAAAAAATCTGCCTCATCAGTCATATATTGAAAGATTTTATAAAATCTTTCTCTTAAAACAATTTTTCAGAGAAATAGGTTTAAGTCGATTAGCTGTTATTTCTCTTTCTAGTATTGATGGGGGCTTCCTTCTTAACCTTTTATCTAAAGTAGTGTGGAATGTCAACATCTTGATTATGTAATTATTTTCTCTTTTACATGTGCTATCCATTTGAGTTGTTGTTGTTGTTGCTGAAAGTCCTCAAGTTATGTTGTTTCTGTTATTTGGTACAGTTCTTTATTTCTGATTCTGTAGCACCAGTCCATAAGGTTCAAAGAAGTGTGATTCTCACTAACCATTCATCTGAGAAAGTGATTTTATACATCTGACACTTTAGATATTTTTAAATGGGTTTGGTGCCATGCATGGCATCTATATGATAGTTTCAATTTGACTCAATGTTTTAGGTTAATGTTTTTGTTTTGTAGCTATTTATGGTGTTGGACAAAACTGCACCTAACACAGTCTATTCTATATTTAATTTCTTTATATCCTATGCTAAATTTGTTATAACTGATCCATATATCAAGATATCTGAACTGTTTAGTATTTACTAATTCCACATCCTGAATTTTTATGATGGATTAAGTTTAGGTGTCATCAATGCTTTCATTTCAATTCCAGATCATAGTTTCTGTTTTGAAAAGATTTAAATTGAGTCCTACATCTTGGAATACTTGGTAAAGAATGTTCCTCTTTTGTTCCAGATCATTCTTACCCAATTATGAATACCTATGTCATCAGCATAGCTCCCCTCATTATTAGTACATTGATTTTAGGAGGGAACACAAGATTGCTTTTTTCTATTAGTAGATTCATTTAGAATGGGGGCTCTCATTTTCTCCTTGTCATACACCTGATGAGGTTTTGAAATGTTTCTGTATTGGGGTCCTTGCCAGACGTATGATTTTGTGGATTAATATAGTTCCTTTATTAGATCAGGGCATTCAGCTGAGTCAGAGTTTGGGTGGCAGTTTCTTATGGATGTGAAGAGTAAATCTCTATATAATGTTCTCTGACATGGACATAGCAAGTAAAGAGTTTTATATTGGAAAGGTATTCTATTTATTTGATGACATATATGCCAATATTACACCCCTTACCAGAACAAACATCAAAATGTCTTTTATAGGTTACATTGACTTGAAAGTATTTGTAAAGTATATGTGTGCTTAGATGTTTGTAGATGGATCTGTTCATATCTCTGTGTTCAAAAATATTTATTCAGTTGTTCTAATGTTTTCAAGTGAGAGTTCAAAACAAAGTTTGCTAGTATCCAGCTAACCTAGTGATTCTTAACCTCTTCATCTCCAGTGGCCCTTTTCACATATTTATGTGGGCTGGTACCTTCATTGTTTAACATGCACTGGTAAATATAACAGAATTAATGTCATGTGTTTACACTTTGTTGCATTATAGTAGCAGCACCGATCACTTGAATGAAGTTGTGGTAGGAACAACCAAGCAGTATTCAGACCAGAGAAACTGGTATACTTTGGCTTGCAGGTTTTTTGCTTTATAAACATATTGCAATTGCATCTAAATGTTTGAAATATATATAAAAAATCTAAATATACAGGCAAAAAGATAAACAAATGTGTATATAAAATGCTGTCTTCGTTGAGTCAGGATTGAATCATTATAGAGCTCTGTTAAAGTTATTGTACCCTCTCTAATGCCTTCTAAAAACTTACTGCCTCCTTAAGAGTTCACAGTGACTCCAAGAGGACATTACTGTCTACATTAGAGAAATGCTGATCAAACCTCATAGACAGATTCCTTCTAAATGAATAGGTTTAGATTATTATCTTTTCCACTATAAACTAAACATTGTTGATATTAAGAATTCTGCTATTTCCTCAAGACAGTAGTTCATCTAGACAGAATAAAACCTCACCTTACTGACAAAAAAAATTTTTTACCTTTCTCATTTTGAGCTAGTGCTATTATAGTCCCTCTGATAGTGGAAATTAGCTAATAAGTCCTATGATAATCAAAGGTTTTAGAAGTACATTAAAGTATTAACTTAGAGTAGTAAATATGAAACAAATATTACTTACTTTTGAACTTTGCTTTTTGGAGCTTTGAGAAAGTTCCTGTTAAGAAAGCAAATTTCAAATAGAATTATTTTTCAAACAAGAATTTTTCTATCGTCAAAAAACTATTCACCCTCTTTTTGCTGATGTTTCCCTTTTGTAATAAACACTGGACAATTAGGCATTTTCAGAAAAATGACAAGACAAATTTAAAAATACCAATCAATCTCATCATACTTTTATATCAAAAGATGTAGAAAAACAGAATATCAATGACTTATATTTTAAAGAATATATAAATACAAACAACAAAAGGTGTACTCATTACCATTTGTTCATATAATCGATTGACATAAATTTATACTCACTTTTGAGGTTTGCACTTTGGTTTTGGAAGGTGTATCCTAGAAAAGGGAAATTTTATCAAAGATTTGAAATGAACAAAATCAATTATATAACAAATTTGAAGCATTCAGATATGATTATGTTGGTTGAGGTCTTTATTCTCATTGGTTTATTTTCTGAGTATGTTAGCCAGTAACATACACTGAAGATTAACCAATGAGAATTAATACTTCAACCAATATAATCATAACTGAATGCTTCAAATTTGTTATATTTTATTATTACATAACCTGTATTCCTAGTTATGCAAAGAACCTTTTCAACACTTTGTATAGCTTCTTGGTAGAAATTTATTTAAAATTATTGAAAACCTATTTTTAAAATGTTTATGTATAAGAAAGTGGTCTATTTCTGAGGTCAAATAAAAGCTACATGCAACAGTGCACTTTCTCTGCTTTTCCTCTTAAGCAATCATCCAACAAGTGTTTACAATACTTTGAATAAAGCAAACCCATCCCAACAAATTACATTGCCCTTAGATAGAGAAATCAGCACATTTCTTTGTTTGTGATTACCAAACATTTTTAAATTAGAAGTATTTTTATGGCTTTGTGCCAAACTAAACTGTCAATATAAGTACATTTTTTCTTTATTTTGATTACAAAATTTTAGTTATCACTATTAAGTAATAGTCAGAGATAAACATTTCAAAATAAACTCAATGTTTCCTTCAGAGAAAGTTTTCTTTTATTACCATTTTTCACCTTTGCATTAATACTTTTCATTAAGCTAAAAACAAGCAAAAAAGAAAATTCAACTTCCAAGTAAAAATTTTAAGTTAATTAACAAATAGCTCAATTAAAAAAAAGAAAGACTATGTAATATAACAACAAGTACAAGCTTATGAAGCGTTATTTAACTAATTATTGTGGAGACCTACCTACAAATGGACTCTTCCACACCTATATAATATGGCTACCAACTCTGAGTAAAGGGAGTCACCAAGTGAGGGTCACCGAGTAGTAGCCATAGAGTGAGTGAATGAGTGAGTCAGGACACCAGTGAGAGAAAGTACTCTCCAATCCACATTTTCCTTTGTACTACGTTTCCGAGGATATACTATTTAACCTTATATCCGAGTCCGTGTTATCTTTCTATGGTTCCACACCATAACACTAATTCAGCTTTTACACTGAAAACACTTATTTTATTATAGTGGATGGTTACAAGAGAGAGGAAAGATGAGATGGGATTATTTTACTACCACAGACTAATTCAATACAAAATCTAATAATGAAGAATTAATAAGCATGAAAACAACTTATCAAAAATGTGAACCAGTTTAGTTTCAATAATTGTATAAAATCGGTTAAAGTGTTAAATAAATTCTCTTTTCCAAGATATTAGTATTTAAACTTTGATATTTGAAGAATTCCAACATTAAAAAAGTAACAAATAAATGAAATAAAAGTTTTGAATAAATGAAATGAAAATAGTGTAAAGCACAGAGTTTGAAGGCAACAGTGGATTTGCAGAATTGATCTTACCTCTAACACTTCTTCTTTTGCTAACTGTAACTCTTTCTACAAGAAATCAAACATCACCATTCAATTACAGAAGAAAAGAATTAACAACACTAAAAGAGTGAAGCTGTCAGCTTTAAAATCAAGTAGCTTATAAATAATGAATCTCTAAGAAAGTAGCTACTTGCAAAATTCTGTTCTTTTCAACATTCCATCTTCATTTTACTAATAATCAAGTTGCAGCAGCAGCCTTTTTTTTTTACAATGATGTTCACCCTGTACAATGCTTGGTATCCATTTGATGTAGAGAGTTACAGAGTAAGAGGCAGTTTATGCAGATATGTAGGGAACATAAATAATATTAAAATGAAACATTTTGCAAATAGCTTAGTTGAATTTTTCTTTTCTAAAAATCTTTTTTACTACTTTTTTACTGACTTTAACAATTATCAACATAATACATTTTTAAACATTAACAAAGTATTAAATTTCACTAGTTGTATGGAAATTACCTTATCCTAGATTATAAAAAAACTTGGTTATATAAAGAATATCTATCTTTACAATTGGTGTGAGTAAATTAGAAAGCATCTTATATCTTTTGTACACTGGTTCTGTAGTTACATGAGGAGAATAGTTTGGTTAAAAGTGATCATTGCATAAAAGATAGCTAATGCTATATATGCATAAGCCTTGTTTTTTCTTAGAACATTTAATAAATAATGAAAAGATAAGATTGCCTCTAACATAGACATAATCAGCTTGATACTAACAGGATACTAATAAAAAAAAAATTAATATGATAAAATGACTTCATCATCCTTATATATTTGAGATAGAGAAAGAGAAAGAGAGAAAGGGGCAGGCTCCAGACAGGTATATTAAATTTTACAATTTAATATACCTGTTTATAAGTCTGGAGCTTATATAGCGAAAAACAAATGAAACTTGAAATTCCCTAATAGCATTGTTTTACAGTTTGTTTTTTGCTATATAGAAATGTCAAAAAGTTTTTTTAACGTGTTTGCTTCATTTTGTTTAGGAAACAAAGAAAATTCATGTTTCACATACTGAACATTATTCACAAGATGTTATCATGACAAAATGAATTCTTTTGAAACACATAATCCTGGCAAGCTTCAAATCCTTACATCATCTCATTCCTCTGTAGATGAGATATTGGATAGTGCAACATTTTGTACCAAGAACAGTCCTAATATGTCTTCATCTTTAATATATATGTTTCTTCAGGATATAGACAAGCCAGATTCTCTACAGGACCCTCTTTATTATCTGTAAATTGGCATCATTTCCTAGAAAGATAGTAGATCTGTTTCTCATTGTCTCTTCCACAGTTTTGAATTCAGCAATGTCCTTCTCTTAGATTGGTTACCACCAAAGATTAGAGAGCCCAGTCTACTCATAGAGCAGGCAGGAGAAGAGATGGATTCATGCCTTTCCAAAGGGCAATAGTGTGAAAGTAAATGCATCAGACAAGGCTGAAATTTTAACTGCTCACAGTTACACTGTCAATACTGGTTATGATACTCACACATCCTATCATCCTAATACGTACCAAAATAACAATTATGCTCTATAAGCTCTATGGCAGATTTGTTGGCTAAATCAATATCTGTCCAATACCTTTCTATTGCTTTAAAAAGAATGGAACAATTTATTTATATGATTAATTGAGGGTTAGACTGATACATTTGCTCATAGCAACTCTAGTTACCTTTTCTAGAAATGCAGGGTGGTGTAACCAACTTCAGCATGGAAAAATGAAGTTGGTAAATTAAGTTTGAATTCAGTTGGAAACTGTTTATATTCACTTCACACCAATGCCCTTAAGAAAGGCATGAATCCACTTGTACTTTGTCTTGATACCAAATATATAAACTAAATGTTTTGTCATTGGCAATGGCTGATGCAGAGAGTGAGTGAGAATGCTCTTGATCAAACTAGTCTCTTACAACAATGCCAATGTAGTAGTAGTTGAAATCTGTTACTTCCATTATCAACCTCGATAGGATCCAATCAGTTGCTTTTGTTAAGTGCACAATAAACAACAAAGTCCAGCTCTCTCCAGTTTTAAATGTAACTTCATTTTTAAAATATAGATACTTTATAAACCGAGTTGCACTATTTCTTTAAAACTAACAACATAGCAAAAATATACTTACCAATTTTATTTGACTAGTTTCTTGTTTTATTCCTAATGTCCTCAGGGCTTCCTTTGCAGTTTTTTTTAACTCAGGCTGATAAGTATAGAGAAAAAATAAAAGATTTAATTTGCATTTGGAAGATAAAGCAGGAAAAAAACACTTAACTTCTTTTGATGAAATAACTTTAAGACCATACTCACATTGTCAGAGTTGAGAAATGATTTGATCAAAGAAACATTCATATCTGTTTTCAGATGCAGACCTGCTAATAGTTGAAGACAGTTGCTTATGATCTGGGCATCAGTTTCATGTGTGAGCTGGGAAATTCCCTTCTGACCAATAAATGAAACTTTTGGTTGTGGAATTTTCTTCATACTGTCAAAGAAAAAAACATTTACTTGTTTAGAAGAATCACCTATTTATTTAAGTCAAAGATTCAGTTTCCAAATACTTTAATGAAACTGTTATGAAATGGGATTCGCTTTGTATTTTATCAGTCCAGCAGTAATTGTTTATTTTGTATACCAGGAGCTGCTTGTTATATGCTGCTGCAAATTAGATCTCTTTTTGATTCTCTCTACATATCAGCTGGATGTGAGTGCTAAGAAAACAAAACCCCAAAATAAAAATAGTCATCTTCTGCACAGTGGCTCCAAGCATCACATCCAGTCCACAAATCAAATCCCCACAAAAAATTCAAATACAATAGCCTATCATAAACATTGCCACCAAAGAAAAAAAGATGAGTCTGAGAGCAATCACATTTGTTTAGAAAGAAATCCCCTCAAAAACAATTGTTACAGAATCAGGCTGACCTAGCAGATTTGTGGCTTCACTATCACACTTCAGGCCTTTCTTGTTGACTCTACCATGACTTTGACCAACCAACCCAACAAATCAGTCAACACCCAACCTTACCAATGCCCCTGCTTTCATGCTTACTAACTGTGTATACCTTGGGAACTCATAGTGGATCCACACCAGATACGTCCTTTTCACACATTTAAGTATAATGGCATTGGTTATTATGTATATGTTTTGAAAATTGGTCAATACACACTTGTTGAAAATTTAATCCTTGTTTGTTCCTTGCAACCATACACTGGTTGTAACATGTTCTACCCTTACTACTTGGGCATTTATATAGTCTATGACTTAGCTTTGTTAATTAGGCAGTCATTTACACATCACTACAGAATCAAATGTAGCAGATATTCTGGAAAATAACCTGAACCAAAAAACAAGCAATCACTGATAAAAATGGGAAAATCAAACACTTATTTCTGAATTAAGCAAGTAGTGAGGTTAACAATATCAACATAGATATCCTAACTGAGACTTGCAGTCATTAAAAACTAGACTACAAGAAATTTTTTTTCAAAATCTGACTTACAAAATGACAGCTTATACACAAAACATAAAGCAGCTGTTGCTATTTGAATATAAAAATAGCAGGCATTTTATGCTACTTATCTCCTTTCTGTTGATATGTTGTTTATGTTTCTCCAGGTTTTCTTCTAAAACACAGAGCAATAGCAATTAAACGGTTCTTTTCACATGTACAACACACTTCAATATATCCACATTAAATAGAATATTACTTAACAAAGATGCAGAACAATTAATAAGTCATTATACAAATTGCAGAAAATTGAAAAAGTATGTTGTCCTCAAATAGAAAACAATGTTAGAACTCATATGAAAATATCACTTGTGACCAAACAGCAGGGACATCAAGATAAGCAGGAAGTTAAGCCAAAAGGAAAAATTACTAACACTCCAAAAGAAATCAAAGCAATAGATAAAAATAGAAAAAAACATTGATAAAATTTTTCACTTGATAAACCAATATAATTTTTCATAATGCCCTTTTCTTTCATTTGTGACTTATTTAATATCTGATTATAATTAACATTTCCCTCAGCAAACTTCTATTCACTTTTTACTTTGAAATAACTGCTATGACTTTAACTAATCTTAATTTCAATTAATGTCTTTCTTTAAAAAAAATTTAACAGCATGAATGTGATATTAAAATATGAATATAATACAAAAACAAATTAGCGAAGTAAGTATTTACATACCGATAAAATTCAATTAAATAATTACAGACTTTATTGTGGATAGCTGAGTCTGGTGTGTCTAACATCTCAATAAGTTGATCAATTATGGCACTGACTTCAAGTTCACAATCCTTTGGAAACCATACTTCACTAAATAACTGACCACAGAGTTGAATAAATGGTGAATTTTTGGATTCATCAGGCAAGGTTTTAGAAAGTGTAGAGATTCTTTTCTGCAAAAAAAAATGAAAATAAATAACTAGAGTTGTAACCCATAATATTATAGGTTGAATTTATTAAACAAATACATCAAAACATTCATTCACTCTAGCAATTATATATATATATATATATATATATATATATAAAAAGGGATACATGGTAAAATTTTCATAATACATTTATTGTGTGAAATAATATAGTAAATATAATAAGAATTCAAAAATCTGATTATTTAATATTTATCAATCTTCTGCAAGAAAGCTTAATGCGAAATATTAAATTCAAAGGCATACTTAATGAGTAATTTTAATCTTCCATTTCACAGAAGAATTTGTATTACCCTATTTTTAATAATTCATAAATTATATGATTACATAATAATTATGTTATCCAATAAAAGTAATCTGCTAAATTCATTTACAGGACTATGCATGAAAATCCTTACAGAGATTAATCTTTAAAAGTAGAATTTAACAACTAATTATGGCAATCAAATTTTGTAATTTGTTACCTAAAATTTGTTTTAACATGATTTAGATTTCACTTTGCATGTTGTGTATTGTGAATGATGAAAAAAAGTAATGTCAGTGGTCAATAACAAAAACATTACTGGCAAACAGAATAGGACTATTATATGTATAAAAAGAAGATTTAAATGAAAAGAATGCACTATATTACTTATATAGAATGCACAGTATTTTTTAAAAATATTACTTTTAAAATTCTTTCCTGTTCAAATTATTCAGTAACCTTTTCTTTTTCTCAACATTTGTTAGAAACAAAGAAAAGGGAGCTGAACTGCTATGTAATATTCATTCCTTCTACATGGCAGTGAAATGTGGACAATTTCCTCACAGATGAAGAGAAGACTTGAGGCAAAAGAGAAATGGTCCTACAGAAGGTTCTGAGAATACCATAGATGGCACATGTGAGCAATGAGAAAGTTTTAAAGAAAATGAAAAAAAATAAATGAACTCTTGGATCACAAAGGGACAGTTGAAATTTCTAGGACACATAATGACAAAAGGGGACTTGAGTCTCATAGGGTATAATGAAGGCAAAAAGTAACCTACTTAATGAGCATCTGTAAATGGATAGCAAAACAGGGGGATACTAAAAAGCAAACACTACTAAGAGCTACAAAAGATAGGAAGTTGTGGAGAGCCCTGATCACCCATGTCCTGAAAAGACACAGCACATAAAAGAAGAATTAAAAGTTAAAATATCAAAAAGATATTTTTGAGTAAATAGATGTTTTAAACTGGTATACTAGAATCAATTTGATAAAAAAATAGACCATCTTTTTCAGTCAGTTATGTGCCATGCATAATACACACTTAGGCAATCATGTATCTTTTGATACGTGACTGACGAGGCACATTTTCCCTGCAGTAGGTTGTCATTTCTTTCTGCGGTAGACCAGTTGCCATCCAAGGCTATAGAACCTGATCTGTTCTGCTATTTACCCATAGCTCGGGGGAGAAGAGGAGGATCCATACCTTTCCCAAAGGTATTAGCATGTAAGTGAATGTAATGGATTCAACTGGAATTTGAACTCAGCTGATTCCTCAATCCAAGCTGTTATCCATTACTCCACCGTGCCTTTTTCAGTACAAGTGTGAAATAGAGAATGTCTGATGAAGTTCTAACAAGATTAATCTGAAAGAAGCCATTCATGCAAATACATGCAGACATAGACTTCTAGATATGACATCAATATTTGTGTTGGGGTTTTATTTAAAATGGCAGAAATTTATATAGCATCACCTCAACTATTCTCTTCTCCATCATCAGAGTGCAAAGACTAAGGTCAGAATGGCTGGTGATATAGTAAGACACAAGCAATATTGGAGTCATACTTTTTACCAAATATTAGACATGATTCAATTATTTCATTTTCTGAATCACAACAAAAAATACTAATTTAAACCTTCTAAAATCTATACAATAATATAAAAACGTTGTTTCTCTATAAACAATACAATGTTTACCACATTTCTCTCTGTATTTCATATGTGGATATAGCAATTTACTAAGTGCAGTGTAGATGTGACACAAAGTCAAAAGTGTAGAGCACCCAGTGAGGCTCAAATTTATGACTCAATCGTAATTGATTTATCATGACAAGCTGCTAACCATTAAACTATGTCAAAATGCCCTTCACCTGTATATGTAACGATTTACTAAGCATAGATTAGATGTGGCACAAGACCGAAAGTATGAAGTACCCAGTGATGATTGAACTCCCTACTCAGTTGTAATTGATTTAGCAAGACACGCTTGCTAACCATTTAACCCAGTGAAAGTGCCCTTTCCGTTGTGTGTATATATATATATATATATATATATATAATAGCTGGCCACTTGTATTCAAGGATACCATCTACTAGGGTGGCTAGCCATTCCCTATTGCAGACGCTTGCTCAGGCACATTTGTATTTGCTCAATACCCACAGAGCCAACCTGTGCTTTATACTGCAACTATGCTGAGCAGAACTTAGTTACAGTTTCTGAAAGAGAGTGTGCTATCTAGCATGAGCAACAATTTGAACAAAGCCAGCATGCTCAAGCCCTTGGTCATGATGACTTGTGGCTTTGTGCTAGCACAGCTATTGATGGCCCCCAAGAGTTCTGTCTATCCAATTTCACTCACAAGGCTTGGATCAACCCATGGTATAGTGTTCACACATTTTCCAAAGGTGCCACATGCTGGGATTGACCCCGATCCAGTCTGATAACATTAGGAAGTTTCCTTCCTGACAAATTAACCACAGTGAGATTCGAACCAGGGTCTCATGGTCAGAAAGTGAATATCCTAACCACTCGGCCACGAGCCTATATTTATATATATATATTTATACAAATATTATTATGTACATATAGACTGACAAAAAAATTTTATTACAAGATATATAACTATAAGTAAAAAGCTGTTATCCCATAAATGTTAACACTTGTGTGATAACTGTTTTAGAGGTTATATTTATAGAATTGCATTAAATATCATAAAAAAACTAAGACAAAGCTCCTAACTTACAATCATTTTAAAACAAAAAGGAACATATCTAAAGTTTACTCATCATGTTCTTCTTTTAGCAATGAATCAAAAGTAAGTTATATTTAAATACAGAATATTATCTTTTTAGGTAAAACTTATTTAGAAAAGCTGTTGGTTAAAAATATCAGTTGCATGAACATATTATGAAAAGGTAAATGATAATCCATGATGCATTGTAAATGTATTTGATTTAATTCAAATCTGATGAAAAATGATTTTTCCATATTTTAATCCATTGTAATTATTTCCCATTCTTATTTGCAGATATGAATAGCAATAATTAGCCATGGTATTTCATTACAAAATAGAAAACAGAAATAAGGAATGGAAAAGATTAAACAATTAAAATCTACTTACATGTTTTGAAGACTGTTTGCCCTTTTTACCCCGCTTTTGAAAAGGTTTCTTACTTTCTGTTGTTTCTGTTGTAGACACTGAAAATAAGTAAACTTCATGCCTTAATAAAATATAATTAAATAATTTACAATTAGTATTAAAATCTAGAACACAATGTGTCAACTTTTAAAACAGTCATATTTCAGTAGATTGTTCTTGTCATTATTTTTCTACTAATAAGGTTGATAGGCAACTGGCACAATGAATGCTTTGCTTGAATAATTTAGAAATATTTGATCACAATACTGACTGATAACATTCATGAAATTTTGTAGATAATAAATATAATTAAATTACTAAAAATGTCAGATAAAAAAATATATCAGCAGGTTAATCTCATTTTTACTTTTTACATAACATCTGAATTGCAAAAAATTCCAATTATAGCATTATTTTATATTTTTGAGATATGGAATTATCATTATTATATGTCTTATTATTTGGACTAACATCTTGGCTGTTGTACCCAAAATGTTTTGGCTGTTGTACTTTACTTCATGGAGTCTGTCATCGTTCTCAGTAACCTTCTTATAATTTTCAACCAAACCCTTTATTCAATCCATGGGAGTAGATTGTATCTTGAACAATCTAGTGGTGAAACTTTGAAGCTGTAAAACTAATGATTGTAATGTGGTGGAATTGCCTAAATTTCCTAATTCAGGTGGAACTGTATAAGTTCCTGACTCATAGTGGAGTTTTTGAGTGCCCTTTCTTTCTTAATCAGATGGTATTTATCATTATGCTAGCTCTACTAAGGAGGTTGTCTATATGCTACAACACATGTACCGTCTTCCTAAAATTCACAAAGACAGTATTCCATCGAGGCCCATCATCAGTTGTCACCCACTGTGGAGAGTCCTAGTAAGTATAATCAAATCACTAACAAGTAAATCTCCATCCTATGTAAAGAACTCTGACTACTTTGTGGAGATCATCAAAGATGTTCCTATTAGTAACAAGAGATGGTGAGCTTAGATGTTTTGAACCAAGATTCCTATTGACAAGGCTCGATTGGTTATTTGAAACAAATTAGAATCAGATCCCACTCTAGAAGTCACAGGGTCCCAATAGATGACCTGATAGAGATGTTGACATTCTGTGCGCAAAAATACATATTTCCAATTGGTTTCCAATGTGACAGGAAGGAACAAGTATGAGATTGTTATTATCTCCAGTAATCAAAAACATATACATGGATTACTTCAAGGATACAGCTATAGGACCATCACCACAGAGACTAACTATGCGGCTTAGAGCTATAAATAACACCATCACATTCTGGTTCTCATTGAAAAGTTGTACAAATATAGCTGAACCATGTGCACTCAGTAAGAACAAAAACTTCCGTAAAGTTCACAAAGGAAAAAGAAGCAAAAGATCAATTGGTTTTCCTGGATGTACTAATAACATTGCATATGGGCTCAAGATATCTGTATATCATAAGCCAACATTCACCAGAAAATACCTGAACTTCAATTTCCACTAACAATACAGTGTTAAGAAAGGCATCACCCATTGCCTACAACATTGGGCTTTTTATCTTTCTTATTTAATGACATTAGTTTAATAATTTCCTTATCTCTGTCTGAATTTCTAGCATGAGTTATTATTTACATTCAGACCTCAAGTTTTTTTTTACCACATTTCTGCTGTTTTGCCCTCTGGTCTTCTTCAGGTGTCCATCAATCCAGTTAACCTTTTAATCTACAGAGTAGACTGATCTTGTTCCACTGTCTAGGGATATGTCTTTTTCTTTTTAGTACTGCACAATTATTACTCCCCTTGTTTCTACTGAGTTTGTACTATTCATTATTGTTCCACAGGACAACAGCCTAGTGGATTGAAGCATTGTTTCATGAATTTGGTGGCATAGTAATTGTGAGTTCAGTTCCTGGGTTGAGTAATACAAACTCAGACTCAGTGGAAACAGGGTAGACAATAACTGGGCAGTACTAAAAAGAACAAGACAAATATCCCTAGATATAGACTGTAATGATATTGCCTACTCCTTCGTTCCGGATTCCCGGAACGTCAATCTGCTTTTTATATATACAAACATGCATGCGCTTTTGTCAATAAATATATGCCATGACAGTCCCTTATTCATAACTGCACACGTGTTCGGGTTATTATTATTTATCAATACACATCCATGCACAACATGGCATGACATGGTGGCAGCGAGACGGGATAATACACTAAACAACCCTACGAAATCACAGTACCAAAATAAAACAGTGAGTACAAACAGCAGTAAATTATTTTCTTTAATCGTCCATGCTACACAAATTCTCGCTCACTCACGCCACAGCAGGCTCACAACATAACCGCTACTAACAGGCAGATATCATGGCTACAGTGTCAATACAAGTACCTAGTCTTGACTGGGGCTCGCCAAACATCGCCGAATCATTTAAACTATTTCAGCAACGTATGGAGCTTTACTTCATCATCAAGGCAACAAAACACGAAGATAAGGTGCTGCTAATTCTCCTCGCAGCCGGAGAAGAAGGCCTATGCCGATACAACAGTTGGTCCATGGCAGATGACGACCACAAGGACCCACAAAAAATATTCTTTGCCTTCATGGAGCATCTTGAACCGGCAACCAACCACCGTGTCTGTAGACTTGAACTCAGTAAATACAAGCAAAAGCCAACTGAAACAACGGACATATTCATTAACAGATGTCGACTGCTAGCAAAGAAATGCGACTTCATTGCCAACAAAGTAAACGAACGCCTTGTTGAGTTACTAATTGCCAGCACGCCCATACCCGAACTACAAAAGGAACTATTGAACAAACCAAAGGGTTACAAAATCAAAGAGGCTATTAAATTAGCCCGTTCATATGAAGCATCAGCAATATATGTCAGCCAACACCACCAGCTACAGGGATCACCACAGATAGCCACAATAAACTGTGGTACACACCAACAGGAAGGGAGTGATAGAAAACATGGACAGGTTTGCAAAAATTGTGGACATAGCCACCGTTTTGGCAAAGAACACTGCCGTGCGAAGAATGACACATGCAACACATGTGGCAAAGTAGGCCACTGGGCTACAGTCTGCATCTCAGGGAAACACAAGACCAAGAAACCTGGTCTAACGGTCGTAACCAGTCGAGACACCCACAACAGGAGTTTGGCAGGAAAGTCGACAGCGTCGCCAAACATAACAACCAAGTCATGGCCAACATAGACACAGCGATGGAAAACCTCACCTTTAGCTCCATCAAAACCAACAGTGGAAAATCATCAAATATGAAAAGCCCTCGAAATGAGGCATTTGTTGATTTAAACATCAAGTTGATGGACCACCCAGGCACTCATACTTTCAACCTGAAGGTAGATACTGGGGAACAAGCAAACACACTGCCTATCTGCATATTCCGCAAGATGTACCCCACCAGTATAGACAAAGCTGGAAATCCAATACCTGGATTACTCACCTCAACACAATCCCTACTAACAGCCTACAACAACACAAAGATAAACTGTTATGGCACCACAAATATTAGGTGCAAATACAAGAACTCTCCATGGCTGGATACCCAATTCTACGTGGTTGATGTTCCAGGAACAGCCATATTGGGCCTGCCAACATCAGTAGCACAATGAACTGTGCTATCTCAGTCCAGCACCAACTGAACTAGTGACAATGAACTGTGCTATCTCAGTCCAGCACCAACCCATCAACAGTGTAGCTGACCTAATGCACCTCTACCCTGACAGATTCGACTGTATTGGTGAATTTCGAAGGACTCACAAGCTTGCTGTTAACCCCAATGTGCCATGCCACATAGATCCACCGAGAAGAACACCTATAGCTATGCGCAAAAAAATCAAAGCTGAGCTCGACAAGATGGAATCACAAGAAGTCATTCACTGTATTGAAGAACCTACAAACTGGGTAAGCTCTCTTACTTATGTCACTAAACGTGACAACACAATAAGAGTCTGCCTAGACCTATCAGCACTAAACAAAGCTCTCATATGGCCATACCACCAAATTCCAACTGTCAAAGAACTCAACCATTGATTTGCAGGAGCAAAATTCTTCTCAAAGTTGGATGCTAAGTCTGGATACTGGTCCATAAAGCTCGATCATGAAAGCCAGCTGCTAACAACTTTCCAAACGCCATTTGGGAGGTACTGTTTTGAACCACTTCCATTTGGTCTGAGTGTAAGTCAGGATATTTGCCAACTTGAGATGGACAGGATACTCGAGAAGTGCACTGGAGCCTGTGGTATAGCTGACAATATCACTATATATGGGCCAACAGAACATGAACACAACAAAAACTTAAAGCGCTTTATGGAGGTTGCTACTCAAGAGGGCCTTACCCTGAACTCGGAGAAATGCAAGATTAAACGCCAAGAAATCTCCTTCTTTGGAAACCGGTATACACATACCGGGTTGAAACCTGACCCAACAAAAGTATGTGACCTACAGGAGATGTCAGAACCACGTAAAAAAACAGAATTGCAACAGTTCTTAGGTGTGATGACATACCTATCTCGCTTCATCAAGAACTTCAGCTCCAAAACTACCGTGTTGCGTGACTTGTTACACAAGGACTCTGATTTTCAATGGGAACCACATCACCAGAAAGTTTTCAAAGATCTAAAGAGTGAAGTATCTGAAATGTCTCTGCTCCACTATTTTGACCCCAAACACCCAATTTACATGCACTGTGATGCGAGTATACGGGGAATAGTTGCAGCTCTGCTACAACCGGATGCAGATGGCAATCTATTGCCTGTCACATATGCTAGCAAGAGCTTAACACAAACAGAACAAAGATATGCATGTATCGAGCGTGAGCTATTGGCCATCGTATTTGGCACACATAGATTCCACACATACCTGTATGGCCACAATTTCCAAGTCGTCACCGACCATAAACCCCTTACAATGATTATCGACAAACCGCTCACCTCAGCCCCGGGACGCCTGCAACAGATGCTTATACAACTCCAGGGATACAACTTCAAGCTCACCTACAACAAGGGATCTGACAACATCTTGGCTGATGGACTATCATGCCTACCATCACCTGGTAATTTGGACCCTATCGAGCTTGATGTTCAGGTTGATACTGTCCATTTCTCTACTGACCACATTGAACAACTGAGAAACTGTACAACAGCAGATCCTTTGCTTAATCAGCTGAGAGAGACCATCATCACTGGATGGCCAGAGACAATCAAGCAGCTGCCCACTGACATCAGAGTGTTCTGGAGTCTAAGAAACCAGCTCTCAATTGATGATGGTCTTATCCTCAAAGGACAACAAATTGTCATTCCCCAGACACTTCAAGAAGACATCCTAAAACAGCTTCATACCGCTCACTTAGGACAAGAGAAAACAAAACTCCTCGCCAAGGACACTGTCCACTGGGTAAACATAAACAGAGACATCGAGCAGTTCACAAAGTCATGCAGCATCTGCCAACAGCATCAGCCAGTTTGGCATACGATCAAAAGTAGTCAGTGATAATGGACCACACTTTTCAAGTCACCTCTACTGTGAATTCGCCAAAGATGGGGTTTCCACCATGAGACCACTTCACCTTGGAGACCACAGGGAAATGGCTTCATAGAACAGCAGATAAGAACTGTCAAGAACATACTCAAGAAAGCCAAGCAGTCGGGAACAACGCCTGAAATTGTGCTGCTGCACTAGTGCTGTACTCCAATTTCAAGCGTCATACCAAGTCCTGCACAACTACTCATGGGTAGACGAATCCAATCTCTACTGATAACAAAAATCAGAAACGATCACCAAGATCAGGATCAGATATATAGCGCGATCCAACAATGTCAACAAAACCAAAAGAGGTACTTTGACCGACATGCACTCAAGGAGGAACTACCACCCCTGTACCATGGCCAAAGGGTAAGGGTACAAAACCCTATGTCTGGAAGCTGGGACCCAGTGACTGTAGTATCCCAGGCAGATGGTCACTGCTCATACCTCCTGGAGAATGTCAATGGGTATGTGCTGCAAAGAAACTGGCAACACATAAGGAGTATCTCAGTGACGCCTGCCCCACAACTGTTGCAAGACGTCTCGAAAACAGCTTCACAGAAATGTGTGACTTTTGTGGATACACCTGTGTGTGCAATCCCAAACATGCCAAATGACCCTCAAAAGCGTACCCGTAGTGGTAGGATGGTGCAACCGCCATCAAAGATGAACTTATGATGAACACATTCTCATAACCTCACAGCAAGCACTTAATGGGGCAGAATAATCTTTGCTGTAGCTGTTCAGGTAGTCTGCCCTGAACTAGCCTTTCTGTTTATTTGTTATGTTTGTTTTGTTTTCCAGACCTAGTATTATGACCTTTGTTTCGGAGAAAGGGGGATGTAATGATATTGCCTACTCCTTTGTTCTGGATTCCCGGAACACCAATCTGCTTTTTATATATACAAACACACATGCACTTTTGTCAATAAATATACGCCATGACAGTCCCTTATTCATAACTACCCACGTGTTCAGGTTATTATTATTTATCAATACACATCCATGCACAACACGGCATGATATAGACAATAGAATGAGGACAATCTAGCCTATAGATTAAATAAAGGGTTGAGTTCAGAGTTCCCTGAAGGTTACTTGGATTGATACACACTTAAAGAAGGCCAAAGGGCACAAAAGCCATAGTGTTGTGATAATAACAACAAAGATGAGGAGAACATTAGTCTGAATGTAAATAATGTTAAGTAATGATTTTGTTATAAAAGTAATTTGAATAAAATATTTTTTAATCAAAAATCAATCATCATTCTTCTATATAATTTCAATTAATAAATTTTACATAATTATACAAGAAGTCATATGCACCCATCAGAAATTAACATTCTCAAAATGTTTTCTTTTGTAATACTGCTGGAACTTTTGAATATTAAAGAAAAAATTAAAACTGAAATTGGTTAAATGTTTAGATTAAGATAAATATATACAAATATAAACAGATTTAACCAAAACAATTATATCCTACCAGATTCAGCTTCTTTAGACACAGTTTTTTCCTTTGTTTCCTTTGATATAAGTAATTCCTTTTTGAAAAAAAAAAAGACCAGAAATAAAATCATTAGTGAAAGACTTGAATCAATAAGGAAACACTAAAATTCCATTTTTAAAAGATTTTCTCTTAATCTTAGTCTCCAAAGTTACATTTAAACAGTTAAATGCAAAGACAAAGATATGAATTCAAATTTGCTCTTTTTTGTAAATATTTTTCTTTTTAAAGATCCATGACTATTCTTATAACACAATTTTAAGGGGTAGAGACTGCAAAATTATCAAATAATCCTATTGAAAAAAAAAATTGAGTATTTTTTCCATTTTTTTAAATAAATTTAGATTACTGTTTACTATGAAAAACATACACTTCTCCTGTGTTAATATTAGAATACTTTTAGATAATAATAAAACAACTATTTTTAAATATGAAAATTATAGATTATAATTTATATAAATTAAGCTGGTATTTAATCAAAATACATTTTTTTGAGAGTTCACTATTTGTAACAAGGAATGCTATGAAATTATTTGTAAATTTCTCATGAAAATGTGTACAACTTATTCAGATATCTATTGGATATGGATTTTTTTTTTTTCATTTGAACATTGCATGATTACTTTTTTTTTCATTTTCAGGTTTCACTTTAGAAAATTAAGTTAGAAGTCACTCAAACACATTAATGAAGAAGATTTGAAGGCTGTGGTTGAAAATTATCGAAACTTCAGTCAGAGAACTTGAAGCAACTTTCACTGCATTGATTGGAACTATTTCAAATTATTTAAGAGTGAGTGGAAAGATAAACATGACCAAGAAATGTGTCCCATTTAAATTGAATGAAGAACAAAAATTAGACCCACAGAGGCATGTATTAATCACATTCAACAGTGTGAAATTGATTCAGTTTAAAATAAGATTACTTTAGATGAAAAACATGATAAAAATGAAAAATACTTTCTATAAAAAAAAAAAAATCCAAGATTTGCACAATATCTGGATGTGAATCAGAAACATCAATTCAAACCCTGTTATCATTCCTGAAAGGTTATGATGAACATTTGATGAAATAGGATTCCTTTAAAAAAGCCAAAAGTTATGAACATAGGTATATAAATCAGCTTAAAATAGGGCATTCAAAATCACTGACTTTGGTGGACAGAAAGAGAGACATTTTCCTGCATGACAACTAATTTTGCAAAAATAACATTACTAAAGTTGAATCAGTTTAAAAAAACATCATTCTGCCTATTCACGTAGCTTTTCGTCTACAGATTAACATTTTTTTTTTTCAAACATGTAGACCACTTCCTTACAGGGAAGAAATTCAAGCCTTCAGTTCAATTCTTTGAATGTGTCAATATAGAATAAATTTACAAAAACTAAATAGGAAATATTGTGAAAGAATAAATCATTTTTCTATGTATTTTTCATTTATTTTGTGTAAACATATCTACCATTCCATGTTGAAAATCCTGATACTTGAATTTTAATTATACCATTTTAAAGGAAAATCCTTCTATTCATTTTATAATTATTACCATTGAAACTAAGATTTACTTATAATGTTCCTGTTACAAATAATGCACCTTTATCCCACAAGAGAAAAATTGTTGCTGAACCTGAAAAATCCTTGCATAATATCATATATGTTAAAATGATTATTAGCAAGACAATGTTATATTATGAATCTTAATTGAATTAGCCATCTTTTCAATTATTAAAATCTTCTATTTTAAATAGCAATGTCTTTAATAAATTACAACAGCTTTTTAATAACTAGTAACTTGATTTTAAGATTTATTTTAAATACCAAATACTCTCTCTCTCTCTCTCTATATATATTTTTTCTTTCTCTCTCTATATATATACATACATACACACACACATATATAAAATAACAAGTCTTATGAGTTTTATTTTTGAAAGAAAAGAAAAGTTAACAAAGAGTAAGTGTTGTTTTTAAGGTTATATTTAGAACCTTGAAGAGTGCATATTGGAAAGAAAGGCTATAGCTATTCAGGCAAACTTATATTGTTTTATGGTTGGCACTGGAATGAATTATTTACATGTTAAGAATCCTACTCTGATTTTGTGCTGTATCAGGTTCTCTGCCTTTTTCCCCTTGTCAACTGTACATGTTATTTGACCTATTTTTTTTCTAAGGAAGATTTCTTGTTTTAACCTTGCAGTACAAAAGATGAAAAGCTTTCAGAAGCTTTTGAGCAGGTCTTTTTATAATCATTTTTTTTATTTCTTTTTGTTTTTATTAAAAATTACAATTTGCAAATATTTCAGTGATTCCATCTTTATATGTAAAAGAAAAATGATGCCATTGTGATATCAGTTTCTTAGATTCTTTATGGTGGGGCAACAGGTTAACTTTTAAGTAATATTGTATCTCACCATGTCTTTCAAGGAGGCTTTGTGGAATTGGGGTGTGAAAATTACAAAAGATGAGAATAGACAAAAAAAAGAAAGTCTATGGGAATAAAAATTAATTTTTATAAGCATTTACAAAAAGAAGCAGTGATTAATTTAGGATTCTCAAGTGTTCAAAGAAGAAAGTCCTTATACATATGAAAAAAGAGTCATGGTATTTATGCATAAATGAGTGTGTCTTAGTCATTCATGAAAACTTATTGTAGATGAGTTGAATAACATGAAGTATGTATTGTCATGAATGTGAATCTGTAATTAAGCCCTTTGTTTTAAAGATGATAACAACTTGCTTGAATCTTCGTGTTTTAGTCATCACTATAACTTTTACACTCATGTTTCTTATTTACAATTCACTAATTGCAACTGAAATCAAAAATTCATATTTTACCTTGAAAGATATTGACTATTTTTGTCTATATAGAAAATTTTTTCTTGACACAGATTTTACAGTAATATTTTAATGAGTAATTCATCCACAAAAAGTGGAAAGTTGCAGTCAAAATATTTTGTAATGTTTTCATTTCTAAACCAATGGATTAGAACAATAAATGATGCACTCCTTATCTTTCAGCCATTTGGTAGCAATTTGACATAAGCTTTCATTTTTCAAAACAATTAATTCTATAATATCTAAACATTAATAATTCTATAATATCTAAACATTACATGATTTTTACTAGCCCAAAGCATATATCCACATTGGCTTATTAAAATCTTACAAAATCTAATATCATTGTTAGCTTTCAACAATATCCAGGTTATTTATTATACTGCTTATGTAAATGTATTCTTTTTGAACAAATCTCTATAACTGTATAATTCTAAGATGTTTATTTCACAATTTTTATAACACCATGTCTCAATTAGAGAAAAGTTAAACTATAGTAAATAAAATTTTGAGTTTGACTTATCAAAGAGACTTTTTTAGCCATTTGAGGTAGAGGGTAACAAAGTAAGAGGCATAGATTATGCGGATGTGTGGGGAAGACAACAGTTAATCCTAGACTTAAACAGATTAATATTATAGTGATCGGGGAAGCATCCTTTTGGGAGTCATGTCTACAGAGTAGTGATTCGTAAGAAGCTGCTGCTCAAGTGGAACTTACATCTCACCAATTAAGTACCAAGCTGTGAAGGTAAAACTGGTGAAACTAAGAAATGTAGTTCATTTGAATACTTTCCATGGAAATACCAATAGAGTAGCAAGAGGCTTGCAAGAATTTATCACCCACAAGGATGCAGAGACTCTTTTGAACTCTATCCAGACTGGACAGTGAAGACTACGCAGTTCCTGCTCATATATGGCAGCAGTACTCTATTTTTCGCCTGATGTGGCTCTTGTAAAGGTAGAGCATTGTGGGAGGAGACAGATACTTACTTTTTTCCACCATCTTTAGCAATGGATAGATTGTATGTACAAGTTCTACTTGAGACTTGGGTTGAGTTTAAGTCCCAATAGGCACTCAAGGCACAGGGCCTCCTTGAAGGAACATCCATTCATCATAATTGGTAATAGTTCTGGGTCTGATTGGTAATGATGGCATGTTACTAGTTTCATTTTTGAGGCAATGAATATGACCAGCTAGTTTTTCTCCAAGTGAGAAATCAGCTGCCAATCTCTGGTCATCTCGAGTTTTGGAGGAGCACCCATATACCTTTATATCCTCAGTATATTTACAAATGATCAGGATATACTCTTCTTCCATAACAAAAAGAAAAACTAATGAAAATAAAAATTTTAAAACAATCCGATTTATTTGGTGTTTTGATGAGTACTAAGATTTGCTTAGTCTTGCACAAGGTCACTTAGAAGAAAAGGAAGTAAGAAAAATGTATTGTGTCAACCACTCAAATGGAGAGGCCATGTCTTAAAAATCAGCATTCAAAGTCCTAGCTTTTATCCAGGTTTGAACACCAACCTTCAAGAAATATACATTTATCTCAGCTGGAGGCAGGTTCCATCTGGTGTTTTATTAAAATATATGTACATATACATTTCAGAGAAAAAGTTACTTTGTCAAGTCAAGCTCATAATTCTTTTCTTTCACAGTTTATTAACATTTATTCTCTAATTAAAACTAATGTTATAAATATTGTGAAATGAACATTTTAAGCAGAAAAAAGAACAGTTTGTTCACTACACAAAAAGAATATACAGTTATATCAGCAATACAATTCACTTATTGTTTAAAAAATACAAATTTCCATGCTCTGTTTGATTGCAAAGATCAATACATACCTTACTAGAAATAAACCCTATATAGTATTCAGGCTCATAATCTTCTTCCTGCAGAAAAAAAGATTTTTCTATCAAATTTTAAGGCAACACCTTATAAAAGATATTAAAAAGTAAGTAACAAGAACTTTGTGTCACCCATGATTGCAGTGTGATGTCGTGTTTTTTTTAGCTTTATTTGTACTATAAAAGATTCTCATTTTTTTTTCATTTTGTAGCCTATAAAACTACACTTGTCTATATTTGATTCATCTTGATGAGGCTGTATTGTAGAGATGTTAGCTGTCTGCCGCACCCCAGAGGAATTTAGAGAACTAGTATAAGGACAGTATCTCAGAGTTCCCATTACAAGCTGACTCCCATTACAAGCTGACAAAAAGCAGCTAGTCCTACCCCACGTGCAGCAATAAACTAAATGTTTGATAATATTTCTAACATTTCTAATTTGCTTATAGGTAACCAGTTAAGTTCTACATGATTTTTTACTACAGCAATATGTATTTTTTAAAATTGTCCCAACAACATAAAATGATGGTTTGTATTTCAATAGAGAGAGAAATAAACTTGTGTCAGAATAATCATCAGTGATACTTTATGAAAATATAAAAGAAGTTTTTGATATGCTTAACACATTCCTGCGAATGAGAATTATGCAATTCCAGATAGACTGATATTTATTTGATTTGCTTAGTCTTTTACAAAACCTTATAGAGGGAAATGAAAGTAGCACCAATTTTTCAATGAGAAGTTTTCCTGTCTATCTTTAAAATCAGCATTTAAAATCTTGGTTTTTACCCTGGCTTGAACAATAACCTCTAGCACAGGTGTGACTTGCACAGCTATCAACCACACTACAGGCTACTTGATTGATTTGTTATTTTATGGCTTATCAACATTTTGCAGGTTATTTTAAAGCCAGGAAATATTTTCAGACTGTAACAAATTTTTAGAGATAATAATGATCTACTGATACAAGTTCTACTAAGTAACCTATAGCTAGGGAGAGAAGAGATGGATTCATACCTTTCCTAAGTGTATTTGTTTGTTTGTTTGTTTGTTTGTGTTTTACGACATATCGACCTCCTCAGTCATTTAATGTCAAATCAGGTTATTATTGGAATATTATTTTCCAATATAATAGTCCCTTCCATTTCCACAAACGGAGAGGTTTGCCATGCTGAAAAAGGTTTTTAGAAATGAAATGGTTTGTAGAAAAAATCTGGTTCTGTCAAAAAAAAAAAATTTTAGAGAATTGTATCGTGGGGAAGTTTCTTCCTTTTTTTGAGAAATGGTATGCAGAAAGAATCAGATTTTGTTGAAAACATTCCTTGCAGCAAAAGTTTGCAGAAAACTCCCAACTTTTTATGTTTTTAGATTTTTTGGTACAAATTGACTGCTTTCAGGAACGATATTATGTTATCCATGTCAGTTTTTTGGAACAGTTCCTTCATGTTACTTGCACTATAAAGCGTTTCTCTTATATGGGCTAGGTCAGTACATTCAATGAGAATGTGTTTCACTGTGTATGCGGTCTGGCATGCATAACACATTGGTTGTTGCTTTGCTTCAAGTAAGTAGGAATGTGTTGTCCTTGTATGGCCTATACGAAGTCTGGACAATATCACTTCCTCTTTTTCTATTTTTCCTATAGCTCTGTTTCCATTCTCCCAATTCAGGTTTAATTTTTAGTAATTTATTATTACTATTGCTGTTCCAGCGTTGTTGTCTTTGTTGCAGTATGTATTTATTTATCTTCATTTTAAGGTCTGTATATGGTATTTTGAAATTTTTTTCTATGGTCATATTTAGAGTAGACCTGGCTGCTTTATCTGCCTGGTCATTTCCACCGATTCCAGTGTGACCTGGGACCCAACATATCTGTATATCATTATCATTTGATAGGTGTTCTAATTTACATAGTATATTCACTATCAATGGATTATCAAACTTCCTGTTTTTAGTGATTCTAATACTGATAGTGAATCAGAAAAGATAATGAACTTGTTGTTCCTTGATTCTGAGATGAGGTTAAGAGCCATGTTAATTCGCGCCAAACTTCTGCACTGAATATAGAGGTGTCGTTTGGGAGATGTTTTTAAATATTTTTCTATTATATATTATGCACATCCTGTTATTTTTCCTACTTTAGATCCATCTGTGAAGACATGTGAGTGCCTAGGATATCTCTCCTTAACTTTCTCTAATTCCTCTTGGAAAATTAGTGGGTGGGTTTTATTTTGTAGTATTTACAGAGGGTTAAGTTTATGTTTGGGGTTCTTATGGTCCAAGGTGGGATATCTGGTATGATTGTTTTATGGATTTTTGTCAAATCTACATCTGCTTCTTCTATAATTGTTTCCATCCGAAGTCCAAAGGGTTTTATGGCTTTTTCATTCCTTTGGAATAATTCTTTGTATTTTGGATAGAAGGTACTATTATACGCAGGATTTGCTGGGCATGACCCTAATTTGACATAGTACTGGAGGCCAGTTTATGGCTTCTACTATTTGCAGGTGCTTCGTTAGCCTCAGCATATAGGCTCTCGACTGGAGATGTTCTAAAGGCTCCAGTACTAACCTCAAACCTCCATGGTAGATCGGGTCAAGCATTTTAAATAGGATTTTCTGGCTGAACGGTATATAAAATTACTGTAATCCAATTTTGATCTAATTAGGGATCTATACAATAATAACAGAGTGTTTCGATCTGCTCCCCATTTTGTGTGGGCTACCACGCGCAGTAGTTGTAATGTTTTGTTACATTTGGTTTTAAGTATTTCAGGTGGGGAATAAATGTTAGTTTTTGTCAAATATTACCCCAGAAACTTGTATTCATCTACAACTGGGATCTCTGAACCGTCAAGTTTCAGCCTAGGGTCATTATGGAGTTTCCTTTTGTGACAAAAATGGACACATTTTGTTTTTTGTTTTAGAGAACTTGAATCCATTTGTCGTTGCCCATCTGCTGATTTTATTTAGACCCTGTTGCAGTTTTCGTTCGATTGTGTGGATATATTTTGATTTATAACATATCATAAGGTCATCCACATATAGTGATCCATCGGTTCCTGGTGGTATTTCCTCGATTATAGTGTTTATTTTTATGTTAAATAGTGTTACGGACAATATACTGCCTTGTGGGACACCCTCTTCCTGATTTTTCACATCTGAAAGTGTAGAGTCGACCACGAACTCTGAATTTTCTTTCAGATAAGAATCCATCAATAAACTGTGGCAATCTACCCTTTATACCCAGGTTACTCAAGTCCCTCATTACTCCATATTTCCACGTCGTATCATAAGCCTTTTCTAGATCGAAAAATATAGCTGTAAGGTGTTCCTTTTTTGATAAATGCTTCTCTAATATTTGTTTCAAAGGCGTGTTAAGTGGTCTATTGTGCCTCTTTTACTACGGAACCCACATTGTAAGTTGGAAATAAGATTGTTTGATTCCAAATGCCAAATCAACCTGTTGTTTATTATCCTTTCCATTGTTTTACACAAGCAACTGGTTAAAGAGATAGGTCGATAGTTTTGTGGGTCCAAGCCATCTCTTTTGGTTTGGGAATTGGTATCATTGTTGTCTCTCTCCATATATCTGGGAACCTTCCTTCTGTCCATATTTTGTTAAATATTTTAAAAGGAATTTTAGTGATTCTTCTGGTAATTTTTTTAAAACTCATAGTGGATTTCATCCGGGCCTACAGCAGAATTATGGGATTTTTTAATAGAGTCTTTCAATTCTCTTAGTGTCAATAAACTATTATAATCTTCAAGATTTTTTTGATTTAAAATTTAGTTTACATTTTCTGCATCTTCTTTGATGGTTATGAATTCTTTTGTACCATTCAGACTGGATGAGTTTTTTGGCAAAGGTTTCAGCTAGCAATTCTGTTATAGCTTTTTTATCTGTTATTATGGAGTTGTCTTTTTGAGAGGTGTTTTTATTGGTGTTGTTTCTTGTTTGCCCATAATTTTCTTGATCATTTCCCAAATTGCCTTTGGTTTAGTTGAGCAATTCAATTTGCTGACATAATTCTGCCAGCATTCTCTTTTGCTGCTTTTATCTCTTTTCGTGCCTTTGCTCTGTTTGATTTGTATTCCATCAGATTGGATGTTATTGGTTCTTTTTGGAATTTTTTTAGTGCTTCTTTTTTTACAGTTTAATTGCTTCTTGGCATTTGTTGTTGAACCAGGGTCTGTTTCGTTTATTTGGAGTTGTAGTCTTGGGAACACTGTCTACTGCTATAGAGTTCAGTGTTTCAGTGAAATACTCTATTGTGTCATTGTTTGACTCTTTGTGTATTAGTTTTTTGCATTTTCTTCAAATTTTTTCCCAGTTAGCTTTGTCTAGTTTCCAACGGGGCATTTTTTTTTTCCATTAGGCTTTGTGTTATTTAGAAGTATTGGGAAGTGATCACTACCACAAGTATCATCATGTACTTGCCAAGTGTAGTCCATATAGATAGATGGGTCACATATGGTTAAATCAATGGCAGAGGTATTCCCACTAAATTGGTTTATATATGTTTGAGTGCCCGTGTTGAGTATGCATAGATCGTTTTCGTTAACAATCCTTTCCAGGATTTTACCTTTTTTGTTTATTTCTTTGCATCCCCATATGATGTTGTGACTGTTAAAGTCACCCAATAAAATGAATGGCCTAGGGAGTTGCTGCAACAGTTGCTCTAATTGATTATCGATAACCTGATCATGTGGGGGTATGTATATAGAGCATACTGTTATGGTACGATGTAAAGTGGCTGATGCAGCTACAGCTTGAAGATTTGTGTCAAGATCTATTCTGCGTTGAGGGATCTTGTTATTAATTAGTATGGATGTGCCGCCTGAGGCTCTATCTGTATTATTATTTATATAGTTATATAAGGTAAAATTACAAATTTTTACATTGTCATTCTCTTTCAGAAAAGTCTCCTGTAAACATATTATCATTGGACATAGGTTCACAATTAAAAGCAGTAGTTCATTTATGTTTGGTTTCATACCTCTTATGTTCCATTGGATGATTTTATTAGTCATGGTTCCGGTATAGTAGTATGTTTTTTTTTTCCATGTTTTTTTTTTTTTTTGGGGGGTTCTTGAATGTGTCTGATGTTAGGATTTTGTTTAGCTATTAATAGTGGTAGCTCATTATATTTTAATTTGTGGCTACGGCAGTTCCTTGGATTATCTTATGGATATTTTGATGTTTGATTACTTGTGGAGCCATGTTTTAATTTTTGGCAGGATTTGTTTTGAGGTTAGATTTTTTCCTTGATTGGGTTTTACTTAGTTGTGGGGTCTCATCTTCCGTTTCCATTATTTCCAATGCCTCAAATTTATTTATTTTTGGGGCAGTTCTTGTTCTTGAGGTTGATCTTGATCTATTTTATGCTCCTGCCCATCAGGGTTTTTTTTTTATAGTTTCCTATTGGGTGAAGTCTGTGATGGCCTAGTGGTAGAGGCCACTTCAGAAGAGAGTACTTTTGGGTTCTCCTTGTTAGGGCTTTGCTTGTGTCTCTTGGTTTGTTGATGTTTTGGTGTTTGAGTTTTCCTTGGAGAGTTGTTTGTTTTCTGTGATTGTTTTATAATGGTTTTCATTTCTTGGATTAGAGTTCTCATCTCGTTCATAAGTTGAGTAACTACTTCAGGTTTTGTTATAGGTTGATTATTTTCGTATGTTTGGTGTCCTTGTTGGTTTGGGTTTTTTGGTATGTCTTTTTGATATTTCTGTGTATGTCACAGTGTTTATTAATTTCCTTGCTTCTGGGAAAGTGATATTTTTGAGTATATTTTATTTTGGAAATATCCTTTTCTTTTTCCAGATTTCATAATCTCTGGAATTTGCTTGGGGTTTTTTTTTTGCAGTTAGTGCATTTTGCCTCCTTCTGACAGTCAGTGTGTCTTGCGTTATTTTCACCGCATCTTCCGCATACTGGGGGTCTAGTACACCTATCTTGGTGGTGTCCAAACTTCTGACAGTTGAAAACATCTAAGTGGATTCGGTATATATGTCTCAACTTTTTTATTTTTATGTACCCTACATTAATTTCATTAGGGGTTTTGGGATATTAAAATTTAATATGTATGTGTTTGTGTTTATAGTTTCTCCATTTTTTTTATACTTATTCTTTTGATATCTATTACATTTTGGTTTTTTTAAATTTGTTTTTATTTCGTCCAATGTGCATAGTGATAATTCAGAGCTTTTCACTACGCCTTTGGATGAATTTAAGGTTTAATGGAGGGAGGTTTTAATTTTGATGTTGTTGAAAGTTTCCCATCTTAGGATTTCTTCCACTTGTGTTTTTTGAACTTCGATTAGAATTGTTCCGTTTGTTAATTTTTTTGTTGTTTTGGTTTTATTTTTTTAGAAAGTATTTGTTCGATTTTGAAGGTGATATTTTTAGTTATAGGTATATCTTCAGTTGATTGGATTACCATATATGTAGGGGTGTTTTGATATATTATTTCTGGCTCACTGTCAGAGCTTTCAAAATGTGGTCTCTTGGTGGATTTCTTTGAAACATTTGTTTTTTTTAGGTGTTGTTTCGCCATTCCTGCTCCCCACCCACCTCGGAGTCCAATTTTATGGGAGATGCCAGGGGGAAACCCATTCGCCCCTGGCACATCAGGGCTACAGGAAAGGTATACTCGTATCCAGTGGAAGCCACAAGCACCTGCATTCCTTTGGCCGCTGGCCAAGTCCAGTGATGCCTCTCGGTGTATACAGCCATGTTGTGGCCTTCTTCCTCAGAATCGATTGACCCTTAGCCACCGCCTTCCAACACTCATGTGGGGGAGTTTATTATTATTATATATATATATATATATTTTTTTTTTTTTTTTTTAATAAATGTCATTTTTTTTTTTTTTTTTGGAGGATAAATTGGCAATTATACTAATACACAAGTTTTTTTTTTTTTTTTGGGTGGGTTGTTAGGGCTTGTCATGACCAGCCGATTGATCGGTGGGCCTCTCCGACCGCCCGCCTAGCTCAGGTAAGGGCCAAAGTGGAGTGTTGCAGTTACGACCACTTATCACCTGGGTCATGACCTGCTCAGCCACCAGGGTCCCGTCCCCAAACATCACGGGTCGCCACCCACGGCAAACAGGTGGCCCCCTTGGGGACTTTTACCCCCTGCAGAGGTGCAGTCGGCGTATTCTGAAGCCCCGCCGACAGGGCTCAAGTGTATTTGTGCATAAGTGAATATAACAAATGTGACTGGAATTGGAACTCAGTGCTCCAATCCCAATTCCAAGCTATTACCCATTACATCACCTGCGCATCCAAGCTTACAAACCTGGCATTCCCAAGCGGTCACTTATCTAGTCATTGACCACCCTCAACATTGGTTAACTTCGGTAATTGTCTGAAAACTGATCTTTCAATGTGATATGACTGTGAGCTCAGGCAGGCTACTTGAAACTGCACACCATCACATATATTTTTGCAAATAAACATACATAACAACATTGTTTATAGCTAAGCTGCAGTTGGCATAAACAGAAGTAAATTTATTCCTAGTTTATATGCAGAAATACTGTAAACTGATTACCACTTATAGATGCTATTTTGTCAAACAGAAAATAATGGTTGAAAATAGTATATTCTGAGGTGATTTTATTACAAAAATAATTAAGAATTTAGGAATAATATTTATGCATTCTTACTTGTTTTTCATATTTTTCTTCTTTCCAAAATCCACGAATAACAGAATTGGGAATTTCACCTGAAATGCAAATAATATAGATCAACTTTTATTCTTAGAGTGAATTTCTTAATAAAAAAAAAACAAAAGATAATAGATCAAATTTTCCCATTTCATTAGGATTTATTTAATGTTTTCTATAAGTTTAAAGTTTACAAGTAGATTTCTTGTGGCAATTTCCACTAAAATATACAAGAAAGCTAAAGAAGGGAAAGATAAAATGCATTTATGATGAGCTCTTGTTTATATTTTATTGTACGTGTAACAATATAAGATTTTATTAAGTTCTTTTTACAATCACCCTTTTTTCTTTGTTTGAATTATTATATATACCAGTATTTCTAAAGAAATAATGGATTTTTATTCATTAATCCAACAGATTTTATCACTTTAAATGTTATTTTTAGTGGATACCTATATTTGAGTAGATGCTCTGTTTATTTTTTTAAATAGCATATTTGTTTATTTTCTGAATATCCTGAATATTTAAGAAATCTTATTAAAGTAAAAGATGTGCCCTCATTAGATCTGATATGCTTTAAACTGACTAAGCCATGAAAGGCATCACCAATCAAGGAATGTCAATCTAAATCATGTTGGATCTAATAACAGCTTCTCCTGCAAAAATGGATGCATGTTTGAACCGTGCCAGAGGATGCATCTTTTACTTTAATATGTTTTCTCAAATATTTGGGCTGGCACACGAAAATAAATAAATTTACTGTTTAATAAATAAACAGATCATCTACTCAAATAAGAGTATCCACTAAAAATAACATGTGATAAAATATACCAATATGAACAAAAAAAAAAACTATCAAAAACAGACGTGAAAATAAGGCTGTGATACACACCTAGAGAGAGAATAACACTATTACCAGAGCTTTCTGATACAAACTTGTATGATTTCTTACCTATTTTATTCTTGTTAATCCAAAAGTCATGAAAAATAAAATCCTAAAATGCAGAGAGTAGACTCTAAAGTCTATCCTTGCATTAATATAAATACCAACTGGACAACAGCTGTGTGATTTTATGAAGGTCAATTTAATTTACTCTTATCAGAAGTATTGTAACAGCCATGTAATAAAAATTCTAAATCAATAAAAAAATTTTAATGTGGAAATTATAATTCTCAATAACTACTAAAATAGACAAATGTTGGCAGTTGCAAGGATAATACCTTCAACAATCGGTCGTTTCTATCCTCTAGCAAACCAAATCTAAGCAAACAAGTGAAATGTGTGATGTTATGTATGAATGCTGCCTTTAATGACAGGGTTGGTATTGTGTAGGATTCTTCTGATGGGTCATATCAGTTCATTTTAGACATTAAGAATTTGACAATTCAATAGACAAGGAGTTGTCTTATATTGATAGATCAACTAGATTTAACCCCTCAGAATTTTACAAGTCAGTATATACAGTAGTTATTAATTATTTATTAGTAGTTCATAGATATACATTGCTTTATTATGAAAAACTCTGTTGAAAATGACTTTATTTCAAACTATCTGGCTGCAATTCACATACTTACGTATTCATAATTCCCAAAGTGAAAATACAACCAGTTATATACAAAAAATTCTCAAAGCTTTTCTTTTAGAAAAAAAAGAAAAGAAAGCATCAACACATGGTTTCATTCCAAACCAGTAAAATAAATCAATGCTAGATCATGAACTGACCCTCTTGTTGCAATATTTTAAAAACATAGAATGCAAATAAAATCAATCAAGCCGGACTGTAGTTGAGATCACAGAATCATTGTAAACTTCATGATCCTTTCATTAGCTGCATGGTATGCTCTTCACCAGGGCTACACATGGTTTTGAAGTCAGAGTTTTTCTCTTAGACTGGTTGCCACCCAAGGCAGAAGAACCTAACCTGCCCTACTATTGGATTAAATTTCCCAAGTGCATTTGTGTGAAAGTGAATGCAACGAAACTTGACTGAAATGTCAACTCAGCTCTCTGATTTCTTGTTCCAAGCCACAGCTCAGAACTAGAAAATAATCTATTTATATGATAAAATTTCACTAAAACTAGTTTTTACAGGTATTAGGGTATGTAGTTAACAAGTTTGTGTGAATCAGTGATAGAACAAGAACAAAGAAGGGTCAAAAGTTAGTTAGAGCAAAAAAAGACAGGAAGTTGTGGAGAGCCATGATCCCCATGTTCTGAAGCAACATAACATAAAATAAGTACCTTGGTGCACTCACCCTTATATAATGCTAATTTAGAATCAAATAAATTAATTCCCAACTTATATGAAAATTTATGTTTGTTCTTTGTAGTGTTATTTTTATATCAGGTTGGTGGAAGAAGAGCATTATATCTTGAAAGGTAAAATGCTGGGATGTTCACATCATTGATGAACATTACATATTCTCATGCTTACTTATCCTTTCACCTCTTCTTACAATTCTGTTAATGGGGTGCTTGAAAAGGCTCACTACAAGCATGAGAAATCTATAACATGCTAACACATACATAGAACAGAAAGAAGGACCAGACTAATCCAAAAAAATGATTTCCAAAAATTATTTATACATGAAAATATTTTATATACAACACTGAAGTATACAAATATAAGTTATAAGAATATATATATATATATATATATATATATATACATACATACATCCCTAAGAGTGACACAGTCAACCCATGGTGTGTCTTAGATTCCTTTTTAGGTTGCATGGGAATTGCTACCTGTCCTCTATGATCAATCAAGCCACAACTGGCTCTTGCTGCAACATTATTCTCAGTAACAGGCTGTCACACAACACTCAAGGGGCCCTTAAGACATCAATAAATTCATCTTGTCAAAAGAGACATAATCAACTTCTACATCTACACCATTAATGAATGATCAAACATCTGTTTTAAATCTATAGTTACTAAGTCAATCTTGTGAGTTCAATTATGTTGTGGTCTAGTACCAAACTAGATTAAGTTTAGTTAAAATATTTTGCTAAATATTCACAATTGATCCAATGTGAAGCTATCTAATATGACCAGGAAGATATTTTAGTATAGGGAATACTGATATTATCAGAAAAAAAATGTTAGATATTATTATGCAAGTCAACATTTTCACAATGAAATTGTTAGTAACCAATAGATGTTGGTGCATTTTCCAGGATATACTTATATAATAAATATACCATGTAAATTTTAGTATAATATCTGTTTTTATAAGAAATATTTACAATAAATTATTTGATGATGTGAAATTTTATTAAGTAACATGATGGTTGTTCATCATATTGTAAATAAAGACATATAATCATACAGTTATTGATATTTGTTTTTAAATTTCACTTGATTGCCGTGGACCATAAGAAAGACATATAGCCTCAAAAGAGAAACAAGATATTGTAAAATTATTAAAAAATTGGGTACAATGTTGGAAATAGCAAAATATTTGAGCAGATCATAGAATTACAAAAAAAACTTTGGTAAGAAAAAAATAGGTTAGAGAATCTCACAAAAAGAAATTTGAGAAAAATTATGGTAATAAACAAGAAAAATGGATTGACCAACAAGAAAATATATGCAGATGTTATTATGAATGAAATCAGAGAGAAAAGATGCAATATAAAAACACTGAGAATATTAAAACCTGAAAGAATAAAAAACAGTATGAAAGCAACCAAACTACCACCATTAAGTAAACATCACAAAGAGAAAAGTTTATGTTGAGTGAAGAAGCATGGGAAAACTGATTTCTCAACAGAAATTTTTAGTGATGAATGTAAAGCTACATCAGACAGATGTAATAGCTGGACTAAATGTAAGATCCTTCATAAAACAGTCACCAAGTCCATCTTAGAAGACAACAATGTGGGAGATGAAGCAATATTTGGGGATAGTATTGTAGGAAGCAAAATTATAGGTCCTGTCAAAATTGATAATGGCATCAACATAAATGCAGACATTGTTTTTTTTGAGTGATTCAGGCCACAACCAATAAACTTTAAGTTTAAGAGTATATTCATGTAAGATAATAATCCTTCACATTCTGTAAAGTTGACTATTGCACACTTTGCCAAAAAAAGAAAAGAATTCAAATACACCAAATCAATAGAATGGCTTCCTAGTCTCTCCAGATAGAAATCCAATAGAAAACCTGAGATGAACTATTAAGAGATGCATGTGAGAATGGATAATGACGTTCAACCAAAGATCCCCTGGAAATAATAAAAGATGCTACAAGTAATGTTAAATTCCAAACAGTAGAAAAGTTAACAAAATCAATGAAACAAAAACTGATGAAAGTTATAGAATGTCAAGAATCCCCTACTAACCTGGTAATGATGATCTGCCCTTTCTATATAGAAAACATTCAGTATTCATTGACCAAACAGTTAGCATTACTGCCTGTTGAAATTTGCAAAATCTTTTTTGGAAAAGAGTTTTTCAGGAATTGAGACTTCTACTATTTCTAATATTGGCGTGAGTTTCCTTCTAAACTTTTTGTTTAAGGTAGTGTGAAAAATTCACAACTTATAAATTATATCATTATTTTCTTTTACATTATATGTACTCCCAATTTTTGTTGTAATAAAATAGTAATTTTTAATAAGGATAGATATAAGCTGAAATTTAGATGATATATTGCTCATATAAATATAAGTATATTCTAAATACTTTATCAGTATCTGTTGGTTAATACCAATATTATTGTGAATATATTGACTTGCATAATAAAATCTGACATAGTGTAAATGACTAACAGAGAAACCTTTAACAGAATGCACATGCAAAAAATTGCTAGTGAGTTTTAGACTGTTGGAATGTGACCCTATGCAAACTTTGCAACAAATATCTGGGCTTATCATGTGAATATGATTGTTGTGCATTATTCATTTTTGCACAAGTGGCTGATGCTAGCATTCAGATATAAAACCAATGTTTTGAATGATGATTTTCAAGGTAGACAGCCATTTTTTTTTGTAGAAGAGTAACATAATTTTCCTACCACTCCATGCACACTTGCATTTGTCCTTGTGCCAAACTAAACTAAGTTCAGTAAATAGCTAGGCAATAATACTATCCAAATGGATTTTCTTTACCCTAAGAACCTTAATTTTAACTTACTTTGCAAAGGTGGTTGGTTTGGGTAGGTGGGTGGATGGGTGGTGGAGGATATTACTACTACTGTCATTATCATCACCATCATCACCACCACCACCATCATCATACTCTTTTAAAAGATGTTTCAATATTCATAAATAAAACAGGAACATTATTGCTCTACAACTTGATTGTGTTACTGTTATTTAACAAATCATATAGTAGTTATTTAAGTTGATAATATCAGTGGATTTAAACATTAAAAATTGAGTTTTCTTCATTAGAAAAACTTGTAAAGATCTAACATTTTCAAAAGTGTGTATATTATTAACTTTAATATCGAAGCTAACCAGGCTGGGGTAAAAAAACAAGTTCAAGCAAGAAATGCATTGTTTCATTGTTTATAAATATCCGTAAACTACAGTGGAGTATTAAGCTATGCTTTTTTTAATTGTTATGAACTTGAAACAAGAAAATTAGAGGGGAAATCGCAATTTTATATTTTTCAAAGCATTTTAGAGATGTTAAAGTGATAAACTGATATCAACAAATCACAACAGTCTATAATAAAAAGTAACTGCAAAACTCAACCATAAAATTTTATGACTGGAAGAAAAAGATCTGACACAAGTTTATGATAGTCTGTATGAATTGTGCAGATTTATAATTCCTCATAGATAACTTGAAGGTAGTTATAAAAAGTAAATTTCTAAACTACAAAAACATTCAAATGTAAATTTCCATGTTTATCGGAAAACAACGAAAGACCTAAGAATATTGTAAAAAAATAAAGTCAATATAATTAAAATGTCTGCAGATTTTCTATTACCCAAATCACTTAATGCAAAACATTTATAATTTGAGAGAGCATTAGGAATATCTTAGTTAGTCTTGTGACATTTTGTGAGGAAATTGCACAAAATTTCCTAAAAAAGATTACTTTTATTCTTAAAAAAAAAAAGGAAATTGTTGTTTATATGTAAGCTCAGAGGCTAGAGATCATAATTATCACAATCTACACAAAATTTATAACTTTATGAAAAAGTACATTTTTAACTGTGGAAAAAAAATGAATACATGTTTCTAGTATTTTCATATAAAGATACAAAGCATGTGCACCTGCTATAAGGAATAATTTCACAGGTCATTTCTATTAAATTTGATTTTAACTGGGTACAACATGAATCAAACTAATGTTACATTTATCTAACGAAAGAGAGACAAGCGCAGGAATATTAAATTGACTACTCTAACATGGTGATTAACAACTTAGTTTCACAAGCTGTTGCTAGTGTGTTCAGGCCTCCCTAGATGCTTCATTACTGTAGCCCTGCACCCAAATCCACTAAGCTTGCAAAACATCAAACAGGTTTCTGCCATAGAACAGAAATCCTAAAATGGTTTTGTTTATTTACTCTTGGGTGTCAAATAAACGTCCCTCCAACACCCTGCTCGATCATTTTTGGATTTTTTTCATCTCCACACCAAGCTTATCAGGACAACCACCTTTTTAATTTTCAACTTTTTTTGATGGAGATTTATTTATATTTTAATATTGTTGGCAAGACTTCATAGAAAAGTTTTTGATTCTGTTAAAGCATTTTACTTAAAGACATTGATTGACATTTATTTTTAGTTTTGTTAAAACTTTTTAAATCATTTCCCAACCACTGTATCCTTTGAACACTTCCCTTGAGTTTATTATCAATCCCTATTTATTAGATTTTCTGATTTTCTACCTCCACCCCCAAATTTATTATGACCTCCACCTTTTATTTGGTACCTGAGAGTAAATTGCTCCCTAAACATGACCTTGTGTCAAATTTTGAGATATCTAATGAAAGAGACAAGAACAGGAAAAAAGGGTACTTGCTGCAGACTGATCTGTTGTCTTGTCAGTCACGATAAGTTCATTCCTCATTGGGTGTTTAGGCATCTTGTCATTTTCATTAATGTGTTTGCAGAATATGTCTGTGTTTATCTTTATTTGTGCTAAATTTCTAAGTAAACAAATAACAGGTTACATAGTAAATAGTTGATATTCTGACACAAGTTGAAATATTTGTAGAGCTAAGTCAATTCTGACACAAAATTACTAACATTAAAAACAGAGAGCATGTAAAACTCACTATTACTGACTTGTGAGATAGGCAGAATCCAAAGAAATGAAGAAGATATTGAAAAAAGTGCTCCAGAAATTTAGCAGAATTTACAAAATTGTTTTATGACTGGATACTGCAGATTTAACAAGTACTTTAATGTACAATGTCAGTAATTTATGTGTTCATGTTAAAATGTGTGCACTTGTATGAGGATAAGTTTCAGAGATATATGTCTTTTGGAAAAGATTTTGTACAAAACTAATGTTCAATAAATGTTCAATCTAAGACAGACACCATCATTTCAGTTTCATTTACCAATGTTTTATTCACTGGGTCACCACACAACTCTTTATCTTTCTTGTTTAACAAACCACTCACATGAGTATTTTGATAAAAATTGTACATTTACTTATGTGCAAATTTAAACATGTTAGCTTCAACATGTTTTATCGTATTTTTGTTTTTAATTTTCATAAAAACACATTTCAAGTGTGATTTGTGTCAAATATACACAAAGAAAGAGTTTAATTACAGGTTTGTTATTGTCAGAATTATAAAGGAGGTGAAATAAAATATAAAAATAAAATGATTACTTACAATCAGGTGCAATTGGATACCTTGAAGATGGATATGATAATTGTTTCAAGAGTGTCAACCCATTCTGAAAACTGTAATACGTGTCAATCATGTCTGCATGTTTTTCTTCAACTTCTGCTAATTCAAAAATTTTAAACAACATTTAAAATATTTTAAAATAAAACTTGATTTTTAAGCTTATACATAAAATTTAAACAAAATAGGTAAAAATAATTTTGCGAAATTAAATCAATATTTAATCAGGAAACAATGTGTGTTAAATATTTTAGTGAATATTTCAATGTTTATTTATATCATTTTCAGATGCTTAATGAATATGATTTCTGTTGGCTTTTTATAAGTAATTACAGATCAAATATTTCCTAGATCAGAACACATTGTAAAATAAAATGGATATATATTGATAAGACAAATGATGACAATATTTGATTATTAAAAATCAATTGCATATGATGAAATTAAATTAACCCTGCTTGATAAAAGTTATTATAAATGTTTAAAAAACTCCAACAAGTATTCAAATAAAAAGAAAAAATAATTTAGATATTTATTCTCCCTTTCAACAGAGGCAAGACCAAAGGGCTTTTTCTATGTAGGATTTTTCCAAAATTCAAAAAAATGCCTCAGCTGCAGACATCAGAGCATACTTCTGACTCTACTCTTTTAAATGCAACAGATAGATGTTTTCTGCAGAACAGCATCCCCTACTGTGAGGATAAATTTAGTTTGTAATTGCCCATCTGAAAATCCAGTAAAAGAAATGACTAGAAAGATTTTTTATAATAAAGATTTAAATATTGCTATTTTTCTTCTTAGTTTTTAATCCTGCTTTCCTTTTTGCTTTTACTAAAATGATTTTTCTTCTTAGTGTTGCTACTAAACAAAAGCAAAATGTCTACTAACCATAAAATACAATGATAAGACTATCTTAAAGAAAAATTATCAAAACTTTTATAATGCCAACAAACTTAAAATTTCATTTCATCCTCAAAATTCATATATATATATATATATATATATATATATATAAAACATTAAGTTCTCTTCAATTCAAATTTCATTAAGTTATTCTATATTAAGGCAATCCTTTTTACACACAAGAATACAATTCACACATTAATTCAATTCAAAATGGCTGCATTCTAAGTTGTTTATTTATTCTAAAAAACAAGAAAAGGAATCACTTAATAACAGAGATTTAGTCCACACATTTTGTGATCTTATATATATACATTGGCATACAAAATTTTGGATTCACCTTGGTAAATTAATTATGTTTGCTAATTTTATCCCAAAAACCAAAAGCGATTACTACTTTTCTCAGTACATTTTAAAATCTTTGAAGGCCAAAAACCAAGTCACTGAATTTTCATTAATGGTGTATGGTCAATGATAGAGCATCTTAAACATAGTGATAATGATGCTGAAAAATGCCATAAAGATACTGCGTCACCAGTGAAAATTTCATTTTTTCAGCTCATTTTTCTCAAGTTAAAATGGGAATTTCTTTTAAAAATCTGGTCTTTATTATTACAAAAGGCACAAAATGTCAAAATATGAAGTTAGTAGTGTTACTGCCTTTGGCTCAAATAATTGCCTTAATTCAATGTAGCATTGAATACAACAAGCCCTCATTCTTCTTGGGAGTAATCACAAAGTTCTTGGAAATTAAATGATTTTCATTGGACCACTTATTTGTAAAGATCCCATCACAATGGTTCACTTATATCAAAATCAGATCTTTGAGGTAGTCATTCTTCCAAAAGTTGAACATCTTCATCCACAAGAAACCTTTTCTTTACACGCGATGTGTGGTAAGGAGCACTGTCATGCTAAAAGATTTCTCCATCTTTGTAGTTTGGCAGAAGATCAGAAGATAGGAAACTAAAATAGTTTTCAGTTTTACCAATTTTCTTCTATCATTACTTTTATTGCAACCCCACACCATTACTTGTCTATCACCAGATTTTACTATCTTATGGTATATCTTGCATTGTTTCTTTCTCTCACTGGTCTTCTTAAATATTCTCTTACATTAGAATGTAACTATTTTGCATTCATCATTAAAATTTACTTTTTACTATTTTCCAATAACCTATTTTAGATGTTCTTTTGACTACTTTAATCTTCTATTCTGATGTTTTTTGGTTAATGATGTTTTTTTTTTTGCTGCTATATTCCCATTCAAGTTGTTTTTTTCATAATACTGTATCAATTGAAACCATACTGTCAGGGCTGCATTTATTACTCACTTGTCTAATTGTTAATTTTGGATTACCTACCAAAAGGTCAACAGACACTATTGATAAAAGCATACTGCTACATAATTTTAACTTCTTAATAAAATTAAAGTGTATAATAATTTTAAGTAGTTATTTAAAACCTTTGCCATTATATATATATATATATATATATATATATATATATATATATATATATATATATATATATATATATATATAGTTAAAAATTTTAAAAATTTAAATTTTCATTTCATTGAATTATTTTGTTTTTTGGTGAGGTTCACCTGTACAAGACCGAGTGGGGTGGGGGGCACTCAAGGTTGAGGGTTACAGAGTAAGAAGCACATTTTATGTGAATAAGTGGATAATATAATAGTTAACCCTCAATTTGAACAGGTTAAGATTGTAGTGATCGAGGAAACATCGTCTTGGAAGTCAGTTTCACAGAGCAGTGGTTCTCACCAAAGGAATATCAAGGGAATGATAGTTGTTTGCTACAATGTGAGTGGTATGGTGGGTCCTTGCCATGAAGGTTCTAACTGGCGAAACCAAGGAATGCAGTTTATCCAACACTTTCTATAGAAGTAGCGATAGAGCAGTGAGAGGCTTCCCACATCTTGTCTGTGCGAGAGGGATAGCTGGGTGGAAGATAATGTCATCCACAAGGACGTGGAGACGCTTTTGGACTCTATTGAGGCTAGAAAGTGAGGATCAGACAGCTTCTGCCTTAATATGACAGCAGTACTCCATTTTAGGCCTGATCTGGCTCTTGTAAAGGTAGAGAATAGCATGAGGAGTCAGGTACTTACTGGAGCAGTACATGGAACTGACCATTTTTCCTGCATCCTTAGCAATGGATCATATGTACAAATTTCACTTGAGATCTGGGGTGAGTTTAAGGCCCAATAGAAAATTTCATAAAAATGGTAATTACACTTGAATATTTTGAAAATATTATCAAATAAAGATATTTTATAATGTATTAATTTCAGAATTTAAAAAAAATTTACTCAGAAACATTAGTAGCAAATCATCACCTTTTATATATAATAAATGAATGATGTCAATAATATTTTAATATAAATAAGTAAAAATGAAGATTTAAAAAAATATTACATACCAGAAAAAACACATTCCACTTCTAAAGAGTTTTGATCCAGATTTTCTTTCATTTTTGTTGCTTTTGGTGGAATTCTTAAATCTAGGCATATGAATTAAATTTTGTTAAAGATTTCATTTAATTTTTATGCACAAACATTGGTTGATCAGTAATTGTTTTCTATAAATCAATTCATGAAGAAAAGTATTTTCTGTTTTACCTTCTTTTTTTATTAAATTTCTTGGCCCTACAATTAACAATTAGAAGCTCTTTTGCTAAAATTAAAATAAAGCAGAACAGTAAAAATTAATATTTTTTCAATGATTTAATTACATATATCAATTTTTGCTGGCTTTCATATTGTAAATAATTTTCTCAATAAACAATTTTTTGTTTCCTAAGCAAAATTTGAAGAAATGACCAACTAATTTCATAATACCTAAGGATCATTTCTAACATATTTTTTGTTCTTTTTAATCAACCCTTGCCCAAAGTCTAAAATATTTGCTGTTATTATGAAGATTTGTAATGTCTCTCTTGACATCGAAAAAACTTATTTTAGTTTTAAAGATACAAAATGGCATTTGTTTTTTGTTCAGCAGTAAAGAGTACTGAAGTTATATTTTGTGGGAAGAGATCATCATCATCAGAGCTGTTTCTACTTGAAGGCACACTGCAAATCAGTATAATTTTTTATCTTCAGCATGGCTGCTCATTTCAGAACTAGTCCATCTATTTAGACCCATTTGTCTTTCTTCAGCATCCACAGCGATAATTTGTGGTTTATACTGCAACTATACTGAGTAGATTTAGTTACAGTTCACATATGTGCCCCAACATGATCATGTTTTTGAATTGGAAAGAAGAAAAGTAAAAAAAATTTTTTTTAATTTATAGTCACACTACACTGAAAACAATGTTAAAATTTTAGTTAATATTCATTTTAGTGAACTAGTGAAAATGTATTTTGGTCTGCTTTATCTGAACATTACCTTCATTTCTTCTTGAAATGTAGCACTTTTAAGAAAAAATTAAATTTTAATGTGTAAATGAGTAAAGTGATCTTGAGGAGATTCAATTTACAATATAAGGCAAAACTGCAACTCTGTTTTGTGTCTGTCCTTATGACAGTAGATATTCAATTTGCCATGCCAAAATGTACTTATATTTTGTGCCTTACCCTAATAAGTAAATGTGTAATTTTAAAGATGCTTTCCAAAAGCTGAGCAAAATATTAACAGCTAGGTTTTGTTAGAAACAAAGAAAAGAATACTGAACTGTTTTGTATTACTAGCCCACCTATATGGCAATGAATGCTGGACAATTCCCTTACAGATGAAGAAGAGACTTGAGACAACAGAAATGTGGTTCTACAGAAGGATACTGGGAATATCCTAAACTGAATGTAGTTTTAAGGAAAATGGAAACATAAAGTAATTAGAAAGAGACAGTTGAAATTTCTAGGATATATAATAAGAAAAGAGGACTTGGAGAATTTCAGATTCACAGGACATACTTAAAGCAGGAGAGACAGATGAAAAATGAGTAACCTACCTAACAAGCTTGTGTAAATGGATGGTAGAACAGAGAGTGGGTGGAATGGTGAAAAGACAAAACTTACTAAAAGCTACAAAGGATAGGAAGTTATGGAGAGCCATAATCACCCATGTCCTAAAGGTATAGGACACATAGAAGTAATTTTAAAGTACAGAAGCCTAAAAAGAAAAACAAATCATGTTGCATTTTCTT